AGTTTCAGCACAATGACAAACAGGAGCGCAACATTCAGGGATTGAGATTAACACTCGACTCACCAAATGAGGTAAAAATGAATTTTGGCGGGAAACGCTGTCTAATCACCAGCCAATCTGGCGTGTTTCTATGTTTACTCACTTTGCTGGGAAGTTCGTGTAAGACAAATCTGCGTGGCTTTAGCGCAAATACGCAATTCGTGATCCTCATGATATATTAAATACAGCGTATCGCAGAATCTGTGCATTTCTGGCTACTTGAACACACACACACGCGCGTCACTACGCAACAAATAACGGCGCGCTTGTTCACTTGCATTGCAGTAATAGCGAATATTAATAGTGATAATAGTGAATAGAAAAGACATTGTTATTTTCCAGCATCCGACATGTTCTGTGTGCTGTATTGATCTGTCCAGTGTCCACCTAACACACATTTTTTGGTTAAAATAAAAAAAGAAAGGCCATTAAAAGATTCCCTATTTTCGTTTATGAAACTTGTGTTGGTTGGTCCGATCGATTGAGCAATCTATTTTCAAGTGTAAAGTGACAGCCATAATACACACCTGGGAAAGTGGTTGACTTTCTGGAAATCCTGTAGAGAGCGCAGAAGGTAAGGCTTCAGGTGCGAGCCAGTCCACATCAGGTTAAAATCATTGCTATTTGGATGCACCTAAACAGAAAATAATATTATTTTAGGCCAGGGTCATGACAAAGATACTTTAAAAGCATTTTCAATGCTATTTACATTTGAGCTCTATTGTATTGAGCCCTCATAATAAACACTAACCACTGTGTTGGAGCTTAGCCTGAAGAAACTGAATTGCAGGTTGAATCCTTAATACTTGTGTTGCTAAACTGAACTGAACTGAGAAAACATCAACCAATGTGCAGTGTACACGGTGTTGAATCCCACAGTGCAATGCGTTTGACTTCACCTTCCATTGCCAGTAGCCAAATAAACCAGTGGTCCAATCAGATGTAATTTTAAAGGGTTAGTTCACCCAAAAATTAAAATTCTGCCAGTATTTACTCACCCTCATGTTGTTCCAAACCTCTATGTGTTTATTTGTTCTGCTGAACACAAAAGAAGATATTTGGAAGAATGTTTTAATTTAACAGATCTCATTCCCCATTGACTACCATAGTAGGAAAAAATACATACTATGGTAGTCAATGGGGAATGAGATCTGTTTGATTAAAACATTCTTCCAAATATCTTCTTTTGTGTTCAGCAGAACAAATAAACACATAGAGGTTTGGAACAACATGAGGGTGAGTAAATACTGACAGAATTTTCATTTTTGGGTGAACTAACCCTTTAAACCTCTTTTTCTGGACTAATGATGATTATCTCATCAGACTGCCAAAGTTTTCTGCAAACTGTATGCAAAACAAAATCTATATCCAAGATGATAACGGGATGGCACTCATGACAGCATATAGTGTATATTAACATTTCATTCAGTTACATCATGGACAATGTTTACAGATTTACCTCATGGAATCCATGATTGACCAGCAGGCCACGCACAAGACGACTCTCCGTACGCACAATCTTAAAGCCCAAGTTATATTTTTCTGTAAAAAAAAAAAAAAAATGAAAAAAAAAAAACTCTTAGATTGAGGATTGAGTTTAAGGAGTACAAGAACAATGGCATGTCGCAAATGACAATTTTTTTGAAAGCAGTCAATAGGCCAAGATATTTAAATAACATTAGACATGCTACTTGTATAACAATAAAAAATGATTTGTCACTGGAAAAAAGTAAATATTTGTATATTTTGAACTAGTGTAGAGTACAGTAATTACTAGTAGAGCCGCACGATTAATCGTTAAAAGATCACAATCTCGATTCAAACACGTGATCTCATTCCTGAATGGCAACGATTCGCCTCCGTCTAATTTAAACCTTTGACAAGTACGATCACAGCAAACATTCAGATCTGCGTTCTGACCCAGAGAGAGCCGTTGTCATGTATAGATATGAACCTGTTTGTGAAGCTGTCTTTACAACACACATAGTGTGATTATTTCTGTTACACAATCATTCAGATTATCACAGAAAAAGTTTACTTTATATAGTTTGGATATAAACACTGAAGCCTGCAGAGTGATCAAAATAGAGTAAATCACCTTTTAAACAAAAGTAATAAATAAAAGACAAAGATTGTCTCAAATACACCATTACACAAAGTAGGCGGCGACAAGCGACTGCTAAAAATCTCATAGTCAGGGCACTGATCAGAGAGTCGGCCGTTATCAATCGCAAAATCCTTCCAGTGCACTGAAACGTGCGCTCCCTAAAAAATCCCAAAATAAAAAATAATTTCATGTTGCAGCATTGCAGTTTAATAAATGCTCTTGTGTTAAACACAGTAATTCTCAGCGTCTGTACCTCCAACAGACTGGATGGCCACATCTTTGGACACAACGGCTTCTGCACAGAAGAGGATCACAGGAATCCTTTTACTGACACCGCTCCAGGCGACACACGGGAGCTTCCTAGGAAAACACAGGTTAAAGCAAAGAGAACACTGATATTTCAGATCAATTTCACATGTATATGATATTGAGGAATTACCAAAGACCCTTTCAAAGTAACTCAGTACTTAACACACCGGCCATAATGGCAGGAACAACTCACATCTCATACTCAAACGGGTGAAATAAATACCAAAATCATAAACTGCTTGCTAAACTCACACTTAAATACAATATTACAAATCAGCAATAAAATCTAACATGAACTGTCCCATTATATATTTCTGGTTGGTTCAGCCATTGGATGACTTAATGGAAGCAGTAATGGATCCATACACTCGCTCTTAAAGTGACAGCAGCCTAATATGTGTCTGTCACTCATTGTGTTGTCAAAACAACGAAGGATAGCTTTAATTGTAAGGAATCAAGATTAATAGCCTAATTATTTAATTTAGTCACGAGAAAAAGAGACTATCCGGTGTTATTTTACATTTGATTACTTTATTCAGTTTCAGTAGTATTTCTGAATACTAGTGTTAGACCAACCCAAAAACATTTATTTTTATTTATCTCTATTTGTATCTTCATTATTCTACTGTATTTATTTGTGCTACTTATTTCAATTTCCATGTGCTATGTTAACTGACTACAAAATTACCCCATTGTAAAAAACACTGGCTAATATAAGGTAAGTACATGGAACCGGGGTAGGTTTAGGGGTAGGTTCAGGGTTAGTACTAGTTATTACCCAGTAATTGTAGTTACTAAAATAAGTACATAGTATTTACATGGGTAACTGGACTGTAAAAGGAAGCGTTACCAAAAACACAATGACTGAGCGAATATTTAGGTGAGATAAATGTCATTAAAAAAAATGTTTCAGGCAAAATTCAACAAAATTCAGCCCATGCACATGATAACTAATGTATATTCCGGGTCCTATTCTAAACTGACTTTCATCCTTTTTGTTACTCTTAAAAGCATGACAAGGAGACTGAATTAAGCTCTTCTGCCGATAACAGACGCGTGTGGAACATGTAGACTATTCGAGGACCGGCTGTTACTATTTCAGAACTGACTGCTCTATATTTAGACAAGATAAGCTGTGAATTCATGAAATCTATATGAAACGCCGGATGTTTGCTGTTGTTTTGTGACTAGGTTTGCTCACTGAATATCTGACTATAATCAGCTCGAGATGAATAAAGCATTGTGCTTTAGTAAAGACACTTACTCTAGCTCATCTTCAGACGATGACTCTGATTCCTCCTTCTGTTCTCTAGCGGCTGGCATCTCGGTCTCTGTGTGTGTGTGTGTGTCAGCTCAATGTGTGTGTGACAGCACTCATCTCCAATCTTCTTAACTCATCTGCAAAACAATAAGCTTTTATGAGAAGGGCTGAGGTGCAATTTCTGTTATTTGTTCAGTTTTACTCTGCTTTTATTGATATCAAACTATATACAGTATTGAACTGTGTAGGATGAGGAATCATGCAAAGTAAGAAAGCATTTAATGTAAAACAAGAATAATGCGAGATTTAGCAAAGGAACGTGCAAAATAAAACATAAATAACAAAATTAAATTAGTTAAAATGACAGCAAAACTACGACGGTACTAGATAGCAATCAAAAATAAAGGTTAAATCAAAGTAAAACGTTCATAGTTCAAATTCAGTTATTATCTGAGACAATTATTTAGCACTTGTCTACTATGATAAACTGAAAGCACCGTCCAGATTTTTCATAAATCGCTGTTTGAAATGAATATACTGTGGGAAGGATGGGATTAGTTGTGTGTGACAGAAGAGAGTTCACTAGCTGTTAGCTAACCGAGCTAACTTGACTGTGATGTAAGACAGAGAATAAAGCGTTTGAATGTCTGACACAAAATATTATGACTTCGGAATCCAGTGTAATTAGTTTGATAATAAATGTAATTACTAATTAGTAACATACCTGTTTGCGTTAAGTGAGTGTTATTGGGTGTGATTATTAACTGTTAGCTCCATAGCCCACGCCAAAGCCTGACGGCTGTTACTATAACAACCAGCTGACAACCACTCTTAAGCGCATGCGCGTAAAGGTATAGACAACCGACGGGTGGCATTTTTGTCATTTTTATAGAATTTGTAATTCTGCATTGAACCGAGTAATAATGTAAAATGAATTAGGAATTTTAATTATGTATTTAACAGAATTATTTCACACATATAACGTAAAAAAAATGATTGTAGTACCTTACAATATTTTTTTTAATGTTCCCGATTTATTAAAGATATAGCTATACCTTTGTTGCTAATGAATTATATATTTGACCAAACAGCTCAAAAGTCAACTTTTGTTTTCATAAATTCAAACTCAACACACCTCCTTTAGAAATCGTCAGATGTATAGCGCCCGTGATTGGATGGATCTCCTAAGAGTGGGCGGTCTTTTGAAGCACTGCCCAATGGGGTGGTGGTACGACGCGACGCGTTAGTTATCCGCGGTTTCTGATTGGTCGATGTTCATGTCCATGAAGCTGAATGTTGGTGAACTTGTCGCGGTGCGATGATAAGCAGGAGGAATCACACACATACAGTGCAATTTATGTCATAATTATACAGTTTAAATACTGACTGCTGAAGGTAAGAACATTTTTACTAATGAATCGTGTCGTTTCTTTATAATATGTATAACGTCTATTGATGATCCATTCTTGTTTATGGTTGCCTACACAAACCCAGCGAACAAAATATGTTCTAAAAACGTTTTGCTAAAGTTCCCATTTTAACATTATTCCTGAATGCCCCTAAACGTCCCAAACTGGCCATTTTTTAAAATGATTTATTCTTGGTTAAACCTACATCCATTCCATCATTCTTCAAACGTTATGGGAACGTACATTTAGAATGTTCTCTGAACGTTCTGAAACTTTTAACAATTAAAAATATATATTAGACGAACTAGAATGTTTCGGAAAAAAATCATTCCATGAACGATGTATTGATAATATTTGATAAATAATAAATTAATTAAAATAAATTTTAAATCTAATTTAAAATGGATTTTAATCTAATTTAAAATTAGATTAAAATAAATGAATAAAAGTGTGATTTAATAATGAAAACAGTTATCTACTAAATACAAATAGGTCAAAATAGATAAAATAAAAATTAAGTAAACTAAAATAAACATTACATTAATGTATTGCATGGAAACATAAAAATGTTACTTAATAGACAACTCATTTTATAATATACCTTTTTTAGTGTATAAATGTGGTGTTTAGAAAAGCTTTTGGGTTCCCTCACACAAGGATGCTCATATTTGTGGCATCTATAAGATTGAAAACCCCTGCCATAGCATCATGAAAATACAAAATGTAACAGTAATTCACTCCTATACTATAGTATGAAAGTACCACGGTATCACCATGCTCTGCTATCATGAGGCCCTCCAGTGTCCTGTGTGTCATCTCCAGTGTGCTGAAGTGAAGGATGAGCCGTTTGCTGAATGTGTTGAGGAGTTGGCTGCTCATGGTGTCTGTGATCGCGGTGGGAAACACAGTGCAGAGCTTCAGAGATCACAGCTTCCTGTCCCAAAAACTCTACACCGGCACACCGGATTATGGTCGGCAAACTTAACAGATCAGCATTACAGTTACATTTTCAGTTAAATGGATAGTTCACCCAAAAATTAAAATTAGCCCATGATTTACTCGCCCTCAAGCCATCCTAGGAGTATATGGCATTCTTCTTTCAGACGAATACAATCTGAGATATGCTGGTTCTTCCAAGCTTTATAATGGGAGTGAATGGTACCTTTTTCTTTTGAAGCCCAAAAAAGTGCTATGATCTATGCATCATAAAAGTCCACCTGTCCATCATAAAAGTGCATCTATCCATCATAAAATCCATCTATCCATCATAAAAGTGCATCTATCCATCATAAAATCCATCTATCCATCATAAAAGTGCATCTATCCATCATAAAAGTGCATCTATCCATCATAAAATCCATCTATCCATCATAAAAGTGCATCTGTCCATCATAAAAGTGCATCTATCCATCATAAAAGTGCATCTATCCATCATAAAATCCATCTATCCATCATAAAAGTGCATCTGTCCATCATAAAAGTGCATCTATCCATCATAAAATCCATCTATCCATCATAAAAGTGCATCTATCCATCATAAAATCCATCTATCCATCATAAAAGTGCATCTGTCCATCATAAAAGTGCATCTATCCATCATAAAAGTGCATCTATCCATCATAAAATCCATCTATCCATCATAAAAGTGCATCTATCCATCATAAAAGTGCATCTATCCATCATAAAATCCATCTATCCATAATAAAATCCATCTATCCATCATAAAAGTGCATCTATCCATCATAAACGTAATCCATACGACTCCAGGGGGGGTTTGTATAGGCCTTCTGAAGAGAAGCGATGTCCATATTTCAGACGAGAGTCTAGTTCTGGTGGAGTGACCTCTGACCTGACGCATGACCTCTGACCTGATGCATAACCTCTGACCCAACACATGATGTAGAAGCTTAAATAAACTAAAGCTCCTCCCACATTTCTATTCTCCTTTTAGATGTCTAATTCATGACTGGTGTTTTGTTTTGCTCTATCCTCTGCGCTTCCGCGTTGGTCAATATATCATGTGTCGGGTCAGAGGTCACTCCACCAGAACTAGACTCGAGTATGTTCCCGAAAGCCAGTGATTATAGTTTATTAAGTTATAATTATGAACATTTGTCTTCTCTTCAGAAGGCCTTTATTAACCCATTGGAGCCGTATGGATTACTGTTATCATGGATTGATGCACTTTTACATTCACATTCATTCATTTAGCAGACGCTTTTATCCAAAGCGACTTACAAATGAGAACAATAGAAGCTGTTAAACTAAAAGTTGGACAACAGACTTAAGTGCTATGACCCCTCTCAGTTTAATTTAACGCATTTAAAAAAAAATGTAAGAATTGAAGAGAAAAGAGAAAGTGTTAGTATTACTGGATCAAGTGCTGTCGAAAATCAGTTTCTTGAAAGTGGCTACTGACTTATGACTTGAATTTAATGCGAGCGGCAACTGTCAACCAGTGTAATTTTGTGAGGAGAGGAGTGATGTGAGCTCTCTTCGGCTCATTAAAGACCACCCTGGCTGCCGCATTCTGGATCAGTTGTGGAGGTTTGACAGAGCAAGCTGGAAGACCAGCCAGGAGAGCACTACAATAGTCCAGTCTGGATAAAAACAAGTGCTTGGACAAGGATTTGTGTAGCATGCTCTGTTAGGAAGGGCCTGATCTTCCTAATGTTGTGCAAGGCAAATCTGCAGGACCGGGCAGCTCTAGCAATGTGGTCTGTGAAGTTCAATTGATCATCAATTACAACCCCAAGGTTCCTGGCTGACCTTGATGGAGTTATGGATGATGAGCCTAGCTGAATGGAGAAGTTGTGATGAAGTGTTGTGTTGACCGGGATCACAATAAGCTCTGTCTTCGCAAGGTTTAGTCGAAGGTGGTGGTCCTTCATCCAGCCAGAAATGTCTGTCAGGCAGGCTGAGATACGAGCAGCTCCCGTCGGATCGTCAGGCTGGAATGAGTTGCGTGTCAATGATAGGAAAAGCCATGTTTCTGAATCACAGATCCTAGTGATGACATGTAGATGGAGAAGAGAAACGGTCCCAGCACTGAGCCCTGAGGCACCCCAGTAGCTAGATGTCGGGTCTTAGATGCCACACCTCTCCACGGCACCCTAAAGGACCTACCTGAGAGGGAAAACTCGAACCATTGGAGTGCAGTTCCCGAGATGCCCTTCATCTTTAGGATTGACAGGAGGATCTGGTGGTTAACTGTGTCAAAGGCAGCAGACAGATCCAGCAGGATGAGGACCGAGGATCTGAAAGCTGCTCTCGCCAGTCTCAGAGCTTCAGTAACCGAGAGCAGAGCAGTCTCAGTTGAGTCTACGCTTTTGAAACTAGACTGATTGTTGTCCATTAAGTTGTTCTGTGTAAGAAAGGAGGAGATCTGGTTAAAAACAATTTGTTCAAGTGTTTCAGCGACGAATGGAAGAAGAGATACCGGTCTGTAACTTTCTAGATGTGCTGGATCTAGAGTGGGTTTCTTAAGCAGTGGGGTTACCCGAGCCTACTTAAAAGCTGTGGGAAAGGTACCAGTGTGAAGAGAGGTCACGAGTGTGGGTACTGAGGAAGAAATGGCTTGAAGTAGATTAGTGGGAATAGGTTCAAGCGGACAGGTACTAGGGCGATTGGAAAGTAGGAGTTTGGAGACTTCTACCTCTGAAAGAAGAGAGAAGGAGGGTAGAATGTGTGTCAGTTAATGTGGATTGGTATATTGGCCGCTGATGGTGGTTGTTTTATCTATGAAGAATGTGGCAAAATCGTCAGCTTTTAGGGTTGATGAAGGAGGAGGTTTTGCAAAATATGCGAGCGTCAGAAGAATCGATAATTTTGTTGTGATAGTAAGGGCCAATCCCAATTCTACCCCTTACCGCTTCACTTTCCCCTTCCCCTCCGTTTTGCGCATCCACGTGAAGGGGTAGGGCTGTCCCAATTCTGTTTTGGTTGGAGGGGGAGGGCTAGGGGAAAGGGCCAGATAGCCCTTCAAACGAAGATTTTTCGGGAGCACACTTCAAACGAAGGGGTATGAGAAGTGTCACTGCTAACCCAGGCTACTGACGCAAAATGGCTGCCCAAGCAAAAAAGGAGACCCATAAATGTAAGTATTTGTGGCTTTAATAAGTATTGTAACGACAAATAATGATTTGCTTTATCTTACATTCAATATTGTGTTCATATTTACGGTCAGTTTCTTCACAGAAACGTTTGTAAAAAAATCGCTAAAATTACTGTAGTTTGCTAACGATAGTCCCGCAACATATTTTTGTCGTCTCCGTTGTTTCCTGCGAACTTCACAAGATAAATGCAAGAAAATAGCTGTAACCCACGCGACTGAGATAACTGCAGCTGTCGACGGCATCTTGGAAGTTGTGATAAACATCAGCGCATCTCCTGTGACGTAGGCGCTAGCGACGACTTAAAATGACGTTTAACGGAGGCGTAGTGGTGTCCCATTTCTTAGGGGAATATTTTCACCCCTACGCATTGCCACTCTGTTTGAAGGGTCAAGGGGAAGGCGAAGGGGTAGGGCTAGGGGAAAGTGAAGGGGTAAGGGGTAGAATTGGGATTGGCCCTAAGTCACTTTAGCAGTAGAGATATTAGCAGAGGAGGGATTGATAAAGACCTAGGTCTGTAGGATCTCTCGATTTGCGCCACCTCCTCACTGCACCCCCGAGTTTAGAACGATGCTCGCGGAGAATAGCAGATAACCAGGGGGCAGAGGGTGTGGCGCGGGCTGGCCTGGAGGAAAGGGGGCAGAATTTGTCCAAGCGTGATGTCCAAGTGGAGAAAAGAGTATCAGTAGCACTGTTATCTAGTGTTGAGAGCTGATCAGGAGGAGGAAGTGTGGATGAGACGCGAGAGGGTGAGAGTGAGCGTAGGTTTCGCCGAAAGGTGACCAGTGGAGGAGTGTGTGTTGTGTCCTGAGGCAGGTTGAGTTGAGAGTGAGGAGGAAGTGATCTGAGGTGTGTAGTGGAGTGACCAGTGTATGGTCAGTGGAGCAGTAGCACGTGTAGATAAGGTCTAATTGGTCACCTGATTTGTGATTAGTTAGTGGAGAGGGCAGTGTCCTCAGGTCTGATCCAGGTCTCAGTCAGGGCCAATAGGACTAGAAATAGATGTAATGAAATCAGCTTTGTTTACAGCGGACTGGCACTTCCAGAGACCAATAGGAAAAGAGAATAAAGTATTAGAAGACACCGGAAGGGTACGGAGATTGTTAGGCTTGTACCGCCTTGGACGTGTGACATTTGATTTGCGAATGTTAGTAATAGTAGGGATTTGAAGACACATAGTGTAAAGGAACTAACAAAGATGAAAAGTCGTAGAAGAGAAAGGAAACAACAATAAACAAGAAGAATTTAATACTCAAGTGCCTTGTTGTTGTCCTTCCTCGGTGGAGTCACACAGGTAGAGTCGCTGGTCTTTACACTCTTCGGTCTTCACACGATGAGGGCTTCACACAAGGGAAGCCGCGACCGCTGCCGTGATGCACTATATACACGCCTAAAACCCAGTTAATGAATACAGCAGGCCACGCAAAACTATTTAGCCAAGCGAAAAAGTAAACCTTCACAGACTGATGTTCTCTCCTGCTGTATTCACCTAGGATGGCTTCAGGGCGAGTAAATCATGGGCTAATTTTTTGGTGAACTATCCCTATCTACTGTCCTTTACATCAATACAGAAAGTATGTGGATGCAAATAAATGTTGTTGTGTGTCTAAATAACGTGTGCTATAAACGAGAGGGTTTGTCTTATTCTTTAGTAAACGGTCTTCAGGCGAGAACCTTTGGTATATGGACCCTCCTGTCCTCCATCATCCGCTGCGCTTGTGCCATAGACATTCAGAACCGAACGTAAGGATCCTCGTGTGTGTGTGTGTATACTCTGCTGAAATCAAGCTGACGCTCCTGTCTGCCCCTCCCCCAGGCTGTATCATGTGACGCTGTGGACGTTCGTTCTGGCTCTTGGCCACTTCTTGTCGGAAGCGTTGATCTATAAAACCGCTCCGTTGACCATCGGGGTCATGGCACCGCTGATCGTAGCAAGTGAGTGAGTTCTAACATCAAGTCTTGAATCAGGATACTTCTATGTGAATATACAGTTAAGTGTCATTTATAGACCTTATTCAGAGCAGCGCCATGACAGGTATGAAAGTGAGGCTGTGAGGGATTGATCCAACGGCATCCGCTGTAAAAAGCTGAATAAAGCGGCTAGATTACTTACAATTTTGCACAGCTTACATTGTCAGGAGTTTTTTGTCAACTGACATTTCTTGCAAAGATATTTTTCCAGTGTTTCATGAGCAGAACAATCCGAAAACACATTAAATAACAGTACAGCCCATTGAAGAGATGCAAGTCTATCCCTCACAGCCTCGCTTTCATTCTCATTAAAAATCAAAGATGGCGCTGCCGTGAATAAGGCGTATTCCTGTGATTTCCAGCATCATTACTTTAGTCTTCAGTGTCACATCATCCTTCAGAAATCACTCTAATATGAGGATCTGATGATCAAGACACATTTACAGTGTATATGGATGCTTCAAACTTGTTTCCGCCACAGAATTAAAAAAAAAAAGGTAATTGCGATTTTTTTCACAATTACGAGGGTTTTTTTCTCACAATTATGAGTTTACATCTCTCAATTCTGACTTTTTATCTCAGAATTGTGTGATATAAAGTCGCAATTGCGAGAGATAAAGTCAGAATTGTGAAATAAAAAGACGCAATTATCCTTAAAATGTTTTCTTCTGTGGCGGAAACAATCTTCCATACATTTATGATTATTATCAACGTTCAAAACAGTTTAGTATTTTTTTTGTGTGCGTGGAAACTAATACACTACCTTTCAAGATAATAAAATAAAAAAATGAATGCTGTTATTCAGCAAAGATGTATTAAATTGATCAAAATTGACAAAGACATTCATGGCCAGAAATATTGGCACACTTGCGTGTCTGTCAGATACGGCACTACTTCTTACAGAACATCGTTGCGATTACAAATGCTTTTGGTATTCTCAAGTTTATTTCTTTTGTTTGCACTCAATCTGAGACGTTCCGATCCACCAAGAACGTCTCTGGTTACGTATGTAACCCTAGTTCCCTGAAGGGAACGAGACGCTGCGTGTAAACGCCGTGGGAACGCCTCTGCGTGACGAGTCATGAAGCACGTATGAAATCTGTCCAATGGCGAGACGGAACGTCATAGGCGGGGTGACGTATCGACCAGGAAACTATAAAGCATCCCCGAAACACAAGCGCAACAGCTTCTGATAGGACTGAAGCAAGCGCTCACGGGCATGCTGGGAGTATGGCATAGACACGCAGCGTCTCGTTCCCTTCAGGGAACTAGGGTTACATACGTAACCAGAGACGTTCCCATTCAGGGAACTTCGAGCTGCGTGTAAACGCCGTGGGAACGCTAATACCAACGCCGCCATGCGAGCAGGTGTCCGTTGTATGAAATCAGGCACATATTTAGACGAAAGCACCTGCGCCCCTGGAGCGGAGCTACCATACCCCTGGTTGAGTGAGCCCAGACAGCCAAAGGAGAAGGCTGACCGGCGGACTCATATGCAAATGAGATGGCCTCGACCACTCACTTACTCAACCTCTGCTCAGATGCGGGACAACCTTTCTTCGGAGGTCCAAAACAAACAGATAACTGTTCAGGCTTTCTCCACAGGGCAGCTCTGTGGACATAAGCATCTAGAGCCCTCAGAGGGCAGAGCAGATTAGTTTCTCTTGGTCTGACCTCACAATACCACGAAGAAAAAGAATTACCAATGGGTATCTCCCGTGAAAAGCTCCACTCAAAGGGACGTGGTAAGCAGATAGGCCACCACATACACCTTTAGTGTGGAGTGGGATAACCCTGTGGAGAAATGCTCCAAAGGAATTCCAGCACCGCCACACCGGGCAGTTAACTGGGTCCAACTGGTGTTCTCCCCACCAAGAGGTGAAACATTGCCACCTCAAGGCATATAATCTCCTCGTGGACGGAGCTCTGGATTGGAGGATGGTCTCCACGACCTCAGTCGAGAGACCCGATTCTATGAGCTGGGCCCCCTCAGAGGCCAAGCCACAACCTCCATAGATCTGGGCGGGGGTGAAGTATCGACCCGCATCCATACTCGGGCCGGCCAACGCGGGGCTACTAACAGTAGAAAGACCCCGACTCGGTGAACCCTCTCCAGAACTCCTGGGAGCAGAGCAATCGGGGGAAATGCGTACAGGGGTGACCTCGGCCACTCCTGTACCATCGCATCCAACCCCAGAGGGGCTGGTGGATACAGAGAAACCACAGCATGCAGTGTCTCAGTCCCTGGATTCAAATAGGCCTACCTCGGTATGACCGAAATGACTCCATAGGAGCTCCACCACCTCGGGGTGGAGTCTCCACTCCCCGGGCCTCGGCCCCTGCCTCGACAGGATGTCTGCTCCCCGATTTAAATATCCTGGGATATAAAATCGCCAAAGAAGAAGCTTCCCCTGGGCCCACAGAAGGATCTGGCGCTAGCCTGAATAATGGACATGAGCGCAGACCCCCTTGATGGTCTATAAAAAGACCCCCGATGTGCTGTCTGACCGGACAAGAACATGGTGACCCCTCAGGTCTGGGAGAAAGTCCACAGACCCCGGGCTGAGCGACCACTCATGATCGCCCCCAGCCCGTGAGGGAGGCGTATATCGTTAGCTTCTTTGGAACAATGAAGTAACGGCTGTAATACCCCAACTCTCTGTCGGGGGGAAGAACTCGTTCTATCGCCCCCTTCAGTAACAGAGCTTTCACCTCTTGTTCCATGACCAGAGCCTGCTCGGGGGATACCACTGTAGGCAAAATCCCCCGAAAACGAGGCGGACGTGACCTGAACTGGATCGCGTACCCGCGTTCGATAGTCTGCAGGACCCATCGAGATATATTTGGAAGACTTTCTCATTCTGCCAGAAATTCCACTAAGGGTACCAGTCTCTCGAGACTGGCCTCTGGAGTAATTATAGAGACAGAAACAGTGCCCTGTGACCGCGCACAGGCAGGGTTTAACGACTGTTCTGTATCGCTCCTCGGAGCAAACGAGCTTCCCTCGGGAAACCACTCGCTAGGACCGTCTGCGCCCACCCTCACAGGCAGGTTCAGCAGAACGGGTCCCTGCAGACCCCCCTGGTGGTTTATGTAAGAGACCACAGACATGTTGTCTGACCGGACAAGAACATGATGATCTCTGAGGTCTGGGAGAAAGTGTTTCAGAGCCTGAAACACCGCCATCATCTCTAGACAATTTATATGCCATCGGAGATGATGGTCTTGCCACAACCCGCGGGCCGAGCGACCACTCATGATCGCTCCCCAGCCCGTGAGAGAGGCATCCGTCGTCACCGTTACCCGGCGACACGGGGCTCCCAGCGCAGGTCCCAGGGACAGGAACCAAGGTTCTTTCCACATAGCCAGGGCACGGAGACCACGTCGCGTGACCTTGATCTTGCGGAGCGGCTTTCCCCTCGGGGAGAACCCCTTGGTCTTGAGCCACCACTGTAGTGGTCTCATGTACAGCAGGCCGCACGGTAACACGTTGGATGCTGCTGCCATCAGACCCAGAATTCTCTGGAATTCCTTTACAGTGAGTGACTGGCCTAGCTTCACTTGCTTGACAGTCGAGATAATCGAGGCTATACAAGCCGGCGACAGACGTGCCTGCATCGTCGTCGAATCCCATACCACGCCTAGAAAAGTGGTCCGCTGAACTGGCGAAAGCACACTCTTCTTAGCGTTGAGTCTCAACCCCAACCTTCTGATGTGGGCGAGGACGGCATCTCGATGCCGAATCGCCTGATGCTCCGATTGAGCCAGAATCAACCAATCGTCAATGTAATTTAAAATGTGAATGCCCTGGAGACGCAGCGGGCCAAGGCCGCGTCCATGCATTTCGTGAAGGTTCGAGGAGATAACGCTAGGCCGAATGGAAGGACCCGATATTGGTACGCTTCGCCCCAAAAAGCGAACCTCAGGAACTTCCGATGTTGCGGAAGGATGGAGATATGGAAGTACGCGTCTTTTTTTAGGTCTATCGTGACAAACCAGTCCTCGGACCTGATCTGTGACACGATCTGCTTGAGAGTCAGCATTTAGAACTTGAGCTTCCCTACTGACCGATTTAAGAGGCGCAGGTCTAAAATCGGACGCAGCCGCCCATCCTTCTTTGGAACAATGAAGTACCGGCTGTAATACCCCAGCTCTCTGTCGGGAGGAAGAACTCGTTCTATCGCCCCCTTCATTAGCAGAGCTTTCACTTCTTGTTCCATAACCAGAGCCTGCTCGGGGGTCACCACTGTGGGCAAAACCCCCGGAAACGAGGTGGACGCGACCTGAACTGGATCGCGTACCCGCGTTCGATAGTCTGCAGGACCCAACGAGATATATTTGGAAGACTTCCCCATTCTACCAGAAATTCTACTAAGGGTACCAGTCTCTCGAGACTGGCCTCTGGAGTAGTTTTTAAAAACAGAAACAGCGCCCTGTGACCGCGCACAGGCAGGGTTTAACGACCGTTCTGTATCGCTCCTCGGAGCAAACGAGCGTCCCTCGGGAAATCGCTCGCTGGGACCGTCTGCACCCCCCATTACAGGCAGGGTTGGCAGAACGAACCCCTGAGGGCACCGAGAGAGAGCGGGCGCCGGATTCAGCGGCGAACACCTCTGTCTCACGGTGGGGACCACCCTCAGTAGCCTGACACCAGTGGCGTCAGGACTTCTTCGACGAAGCCTTCCTGGCGACAATAACCGTCCTCAGATCGGTTCTATCCCGGGAAGACCTCGCCTGAGAACGCCGCGTCTCAGCCCAGTTTTGCTGGGGAGGAGCCCGAGACGCGACGCTCTCTCGACGGGCGGGGCTGCTCTCGCCCAGCAGCCCCCGAAGGATGAGTACGGAGGGGGAGACATTTCTGGAGCGCCGCTGCCTGTTTTTTTCCCGGACGACAGCGGCGCATCCAGGAGAAACGCTTTATCTTTCTCCTTCATATTAGCCAGATTTAGCCACAGATGCCTCTCCGTGGCCACCAGGGCTGCCATAGAGCGGCCGACTGATCTGGCCGTCTCCTTGGTGGCACGGAGAGAAATATCTGCCGCCTGACGCAGTATCTCATTAATCACGTCAGTGCCGACGACCTCCCCCTCACTCATATCTCCTAGACCCAGCAATATTAGCATACATAGAGGTCTGGTGTGTCAAAATTCTAGCTGACACTGGTTTGTTCCACGATCTACACACCTCGGTGTGTAGATCGGGGAAGAAAGGCAAACACCGGCATGGAGGTAGTGAGTGTGATATTAAAAATCTCTCATCCATTTTACTCTCTCGACTCTTGTTTCTCAACTGGCCATTCAATGGTTAATTTTTCCACAGCCCGAGTCAAAAACCTCCATTTTTTTTATTTTTTTTTTCCCTTTATTTTTACTACATTCGCGGGAGACTGGGATGGCAAACGAGCTTCCCTCGCTCTCCACTGAGTCCATAGACTCTGCATCCACACTTTCAACATCCAGCTCCTCAGAACTGGATAATTGAAGTGATGGCGCCTCAGCCCGGGCAGGAAAAACCGCAACGCGGACTCCCGCAGCGAGAACTGAGGCACTGGATCTACCAGGTAAGGGCAGAGAAAGGGCGGGGCCCGTCTCAATCCCCGCTGATAGATCCATCTGCGATCCCCACGACGCAAGCCTTCGCTGTGCCTCGGCAGCAGCGGGACCCGAGCCGCGGGGAGCGCGCACCGAACCACTCTCCTCGAAGAGTGCCCGGCGGGAGCGAAGTGTCTTCATGGGCAGACACTCGCAGTGCACAGCCGGCCCCCTCGAGAGCCGACTGAGCATGCTGCACTCCCAAACAAACAACACACAGATCGTGTGTATCCCCACCCGTGATGAAGCGAGGGCAGGGATGAACACACTTTCTGCTGTTGTTTGCTCGCCATATCAATATAAATATACAATATTAGACAGACAGACAAAATTCATACATAGAGCGCTTGTGAAGACTCAGAAGCTGTTGCGCTTGTGTTTCGGGGATGCTTTATAGTTTCCTGGTCGATACGTCACCCCGCCTATGACGTTCCGTCTCGCCATTGGACAGATTTCATACGTGCTTCATGACTCGTCACGCAGAGGCGTTCCCACGGCGTTTACACGCAGCTCGAAGTTCCCTGAATGGGAACTCCAGAGATGGAAAATCCAGTGAAAAAGTGACACGGGATTAATAACATTTCAGGATTTGTGCAACCTTTCGAGAGTGCTTCACACTTTTTCAAGAACTTCAAGCTCTAAATATCATCCAGGTTTAAAGTGATGACCAAAAACAAAATTTATCCCCATTTAAACTAAAAGTTTAAAGATGCAAACACTGACTTTTAGTTAATAAAGATAATAAATATGAAATCCCCACTATAACCGGTAGATGATGGCAGAGGAGCACTTACTTACTAATTAGCCATTTCCACTCCCATCATTGTTTTTTTTCACAGGTTTTACTTCTAAATTTATATTTATATATTATGAAATTCCCATATAAAATATCAAATCATCAAGAAATGAATTTTTGTCAAAGTTTGACACTTTCTGTACTGAAGTTTGAAGTGAGAGTCTCATGAAAATCCAAAATTGTAAAAAAAATTCGAGGAATTACACGAGAGAAGGTAAAGGAAAAGGAAAAATTAGTTTGTTAAAAGTTAGTTTTATCTGCATCTCAGCTCAAGCTCAGCGCTTTACCACCAAATGTGCACTTATTAATGCAAACCAATACTATTTTTATAATTAAATTGCCTTTATAATTAACCGATGCAACAGTATATATATATTGTGTGTGTGTGTTTATTAGCAGTAGCAATAACAGCAGCAGCGTAGGAGATCTACATATGAAGAGTTCAGATGCAAAAGCCACTAAATGCCATTTGAAATTTTCTTCTTTAATGATGATTTTTATCAAACTTGTATATTTAAGTTCAGTAATTTCACTTAAATAACAATTAATAGGTAATTATCATTGCCATTTAAGTGAAATCACTGAACTTAAATATACAAGATTGATAAAAATGATCATTCTAGAAGAAAATTTCAAATGGCATTTAGAGGCTTTTGCATCTGAACTCTTCATATATATATATAATATATATATATATATATATATATATATATATATATATGAGTGTGTGTGTGTGTGTGTGTGTGTGTATACAGTATATCAATATTTTTATATCCGTTACCATGAAAACACTGAACTTTCTATTCATCAAAGATCCTGATTTCAACACTGATAAAAATCATAAATGTGTCTTGATCATCAGATCCTCATATTAGAGTGATTTCTGAAGGATCATGTGACACTGAAGACTGGAGTAATGATGATAAATTCAGGAATAAATTACACTTTACTATATATTCACAGCTATTTTAAATGTTGATAATATTTCACACATTTTTTATCACATAAATGCAGCCTTGATGAGACTTGAATCAAAAACACTAATGATCTTGTTCCAAAGATTTGACACTTCTTGCATACAGAATGACACTAAATGGATGTACGTTAAAAGTAACTTGTGCCAGACTCCGACTTTAAAATATAGAAACTCAATATTTGAGAAATGTTCACTGCAAAAAATAAATATATATGACTACTCTCCTCAGCCGTCCTGTGTTACTTTACTGTTGGACTGATCTAGAATCAGCATGGTCGTCTTGTGTTTCCAGGCGTCTCTATTGTGGGCATGTTGATCGGCTTCCAGTGTATCGTTGAGCCGCAGGAAGTGATGGGATCTCGTCAGAAGAAGAGGAACTGAGTGATGTTCCCTCATCATCACTGCTGACACCTGACGCGGGACGGGACGTGTGGTCCGACGGGACGTGTGGTTCAGTCTGTGCCGCTCCTGCCGCCACATATAAGGCCCAAACGACCTTTTACAGCATTAAAATCAGTGTAATCATTTCATATGGTTGTTTAAAGCTTAATTATCTGAACCGGTACATTCGAGTCATTTTTAAGCTCTTATATTTGTAACATAGTGCCGTTATGAAAATGGTGAAATGAACTTTTATACAGGTGAAACTTTGAATATCGTGCAAAAGTATGTCAGTAATTCAAATTAAAAGGTGGAACTAATATATTTAGTATTTATATGCATATGCATGATGATAATACTTTCAGAAGGCCGACATTTCTGTATTTAAAATCCTTTTTTTATATCGATTTCATGTAATATTCAAATTTTCTGAGATTTTCATAAGCCATAATCCTCAAAATTGGAAATATTTGGAGTTTCACCTGTATTTGAGCTTTTTCTGTGTCTAGATCTCAGCTACTGAAAGGTAAAGGGCTTCAGCCTCAGATGTGCATGAATGTTTATTACTGTTAGTGTTTCCCCCAGAAAGCTTTACATGACTCCACATACAAGACATGCTCACATCTGCATTATCACACTTTATTATTGACTGTGAGATTCAATTTACTACAATTGTATCTGTAATATGTTCAAAACGTTGTGTAAAATACACATGAACTACATCTGCATACATTCATATCAACAACACACACAGATACACGTCTACACACTGACATCAGTTCTGCGACCGTCATCTGATCAAAATCACAGAAAACCGCAGTGTAAAAATTCATTTTTTTTTAGCTTCAGTGTTTCTGTTGAATTTGGCTTGTTTGGTGGATATTTGCACCCGTGTGAAACAAATAAATGTAAATGACCTTGAGTAACCATCATGTTTTGTGATGTCATTGTGTACAAAGCATCTTGCTAACTGTAGTCGGCACACACTGCAAAAACTTACTGAGTATTTGTGTCTGGTTTCCAGTCCGAATATTTAAATTCTTAAATCAAGATGCATTTACATTAGATGAGTAAAATGCAATACGATATTATGTTTTGTTTTCTGGGGATATAAATCAAAATTAAGTGATTTGTTGCTTTAAAAAGCAAATGATCTGCCAATGAGGTAAGAAAAATAATGATAACAATTCAAACAGAAGCAAGATTATTTTCCGTACACCATTGGCCGATAATTTTGCAAAAACATACTTAAAGGGACGATGTGTAACTTTTTATGTAATTTATTGTTTAAAATCAATATTTTTATTCATATATTTGTCCTCAATGGGGTACCTCTGCCAACTATCTGACTTATCCTCGTAAACGAACAATTTATTATCTTTATATACACGGAGGCTTCCATGTAGTTCCGCCATCTTGAAAAACTATAATAGCAAGAGAGGGACAAAAAGTACTTTGCCAACGCGTTTCCACAAAGCGTTTTCGTTCAGAGCCGACGTTAGTTCATTAGTTGTGTCATGCTGCTGTTTGTTTGAAATAACAAACCTGTTCACACTCGACGAAGTGCTAATCCTGTCATAGCTTTTTGGTACGTAATGGTCACCGTAGATGCAACGCGCATTTAAAAAAGCGAGGCGCTGGAGAGCACAATTCGTCTGCATGCAAAATACATTTTCACCGCTAGATGGCAGCAATTCCTACACAATGTCCCTTTAATTTTGCTTTATAGTCCCAGAAAACAAGACTATATATCTTTATTTAAGAATTTTTATATATTTGCACTGGAAACAAGACAAAAATCCCAAGAAAGAAGAGCATTTCTGCGGTCTGTCACACACACAATAGACTGACTCCATCTGTGACTGTGCTTTAAATGTATAATCTATGAAAACATTTGTATTACACAATAATAAAAAAAAATAATAAAAAAGGAAATTGCAACTTATCTAAAAACTCAGAATCGAGAGGGAAAGAAAGTCTGAATTGTGAGATATAAACTCGCAATTGGAAGAAAAACATTTCAAGTATGTACATTTAGAAGACCATACATTGTGTTATATTACCCTGGCATTAAATGTCATTAATATATGTTTCTATTGGATCAAAAAGCGTGCATTCCTGCTGCTACAACAACATTCATTAACCTTTGCATATGTTCTAATATGAAGAGAAGTGTACGGCTGTCGGGTCTGTTAGTATTGCATTAGTACTTCACACGTCCTCCGTTGATCACATGACTGACGTTCTGGCACATTCAAGTAGGCTTCAATTGATGGGTTTCATTGAAGGACTTCGACCTTTCATAATAATATTGTGATGTCCAGCATCAACAATCTTAACACTGAGATGTGGAGACACTTATACTACATTAATATCTTTAGGTCAGATCTAACCATCATGCAAACAGGATACATTTCCCAACACGTATTAAGCCTCATTTATGAAACACAACCAATCGTTCATTTAAGCATCCAAAATGTATTTCACAAAGTCGTGTTTGCTGAATGATTCCCACTGAGTGTTGTGTGAGCACTGACCAGGACATCAGCAAAATGAAGGAAACTTCCACTTGTGCTTGAGCCGTCATTATTCAGGAGGACCGATGGATATCATGACGTTTCCGTCCGTACATCTTAACCTATTTTACTGGGAGCGGTTTTTTGTCGTGGGAATGCAAGGATGAGTCCTGAGCAGGAAAAAAAAAGATAAGTAAATTTAACCAGCACTAACTAAAAATGATTTTAATGAAATCTACAACATAAAAACGCACAGAAATAACAAGGAAACGTAATGACAAGAACAAGAAAACGATTACACTCTCAGAAAAAAAGGTACAAAAGCTGTCACTGGGGCTGTACCTTTTCAAAAGGTACACTTTTGTATCAAAAGGCTACATATTGGTAACTTAGTGGTACATATTAGCACCTAAAATGTACATATTAGCACCTGAAATGTACAGTTTAGCTCATGAAATGGATATTAGCACCTAAAATGTACATATTATCAACTAAAATGTGCATGTTACCACCTAAAATGGACATATTAGCTCATGAAATGGACTATTAGCGCCTAAAATGTACATATTATCACCTAAAATTGACATATTACCACCTAAAATGGACATATTAACACCTAAAATTGACATATTAGCTCATGAAATGAACATATTAGCACCAAAAATGGACAAAAGTTTACCTTTTGAAAAGGTACACCCCCAGTGACAGCTTTTGTACCTTTTTTCTGAGAGTGTACACACTGTTTCATTTTGTAATAACTGCAAGCCTTTTAGTCAAGTTTATCAGATTAGAGCTGTGCGGTGATATAGTTCACATTTTGCTGGATAAAAGCAGGTTTTCTATGTAGTGTATGTATGTGTAAAGTTGCTGTTATCCTACGGAGGCGTATTGCATTCACTTGAAGAAAAAAAATCTACTCTGTTTTTCTGAATTAATGAGTTAATTTTTCATGAGAAAAAAATTTGCTCTGTTTTTCTGAATTAATGAGTTAATATTTCATGAGAAAAAAGTTTTTGCTCTGTTTTTCTGAATTAACGAGTTAATTTTTCATGGAATTTTTTTTTTTTGCTCTGTTTTTCTGAATTAATGAGTTAATTTTTCATGAGAAAAAAAAGTTTTTGCTCTGTTTTTTCTGAATTAACTCGTTAATTCAGAAAAACAGAGCAAAAAAAAAATCCATGAAAAATTAACTCATTAATTCGGAAAAACAGAGCAAAATATTTTTTTTTCTCATGAAAAATTAACTCATTAATTCAGAAAAACAGAGCAAAAACTTTTTTCTCATGAAAAATTAACTCATTAATTCAGAAAAACAGAGCAAAAACTTTTTTCTCATGAAAAATTAACTCGTTAATTCAGAAAAACAGAGTAGATTTTTTTTTCTTCAAGTGAATGCAATACGCCTCCGTAGTTATCCACAGACACACATCTTGCTAAATATTCTCATGTTTTGCAAAAGTTGAAGAAAAATGAAAAGTGTTTTATAGATTATTGTTTTAGGAATCTGATATGTTTTTATTTATTTTGGAGACCTGTGTGTGTAGGAATTACGCATCTTTATATAGATATTTAAATTATTTTTATAGGACCTATTATTCATTTTTCAAACAAACATTACTCTGTATGTTTACAAATACCGGCTTTCTCTAAAGATGTAATAAAACGGTTGTTTGTGGATGTTTTCTATGTTGTTACTATTTATATGAATCTTCGAATGAACAGTTTTCAGACTCTATGAGAAATGAGGTGATGTGTAATGTATATTATTATGACCTGAAAACTGTGCAAAAGATCTAAAATATACTTTTTCCTCCCACCTCGTATTATTTAAATCACAAAAGTTCAGCAAGGTTTCTTTTTAGCATTGCCAATGTACAATTTTGAGGTTAATATTTGGTATTTTATTAATTTTCTTCTATTATCCATAATAACCAATCAGAACAGACAGAGAGAGAGATTGTGATCCTTTAGTTGAACAGCAAGTGGAATAGAAGATTCTGGAATAGAGTCAAATACACAAAAAAAAAATTTTTTTCTTGATATATATATATATATATATATATATATATATATATATATATATATATATATATATATATATATATATATATATATATATATATATATTCAAGAAAAAAATATTCCCAGTGACTATTGGATGAAACCAGTAACCTTCTCGTCACCAGCCCTGACTGTAACCACTACACCACACCACTATAACCACCAGATGGCCATGTTGAGTTTTTAGTTCTGTTCATCGGTTTACATGTCTTTTTTTCCTCCCTGTTTTGTGTATTTGACTCTATTCCAGAATCTAGTGTACCGTTGTGGTATATGCGGGATCGAAACTTGCCGGCCCAAAAAAACGTATTAAAGACATCGTTAAATTAGTCCGAAAGACGACAGTGGCTCAACCTTAAGCTTATCAAGCGACGAGAATATTTTTTGTGCTCAAAACAAACAAAAATAAAGACTTTATTCAACTATTCATGATGTTTTCTGTGGGCCTCGAGTAACAGCGCAGCGCTTCTGTGTCGTACGTCACACGCAGGCTCACTATTGGCCGACGCTGGTCATGTGTGTGATGTGTGACGTACGACACAGAAGCGCTGTTACACTATACGCAAACTCATTTGAGGACCACAGAGAAGGAAATGAATAGTTGAATAAAGTCGTTATTTGTGTTTGTTTTGCGCACAAACAGTATTTAATATCTTGAGTAACGTTGGTAAAAACACCCAATTGGAAAGTTAAATAAAAAAGGTTTAATATTCTTTAGTGCTGTGTAACGATTAATCACATCCAAAATAAAAGATTGTGCTTACATAAAATATGTGTGTACTGCATATTTTGTATATAAAAATACACACATGAATGCATATATTTCAGAAATATGTGCATGTACTGTATATATTTATACATATTTTATATTATATACCAATATTGTATATAACACATTTATCTTAAATATGTACATGATGCATGCGTGTATGCATGTGTGTGTGTGTGTGTGTGTGTGTGTGTGTGTGTATATATATAAACACACAAAAAAAAATATTATATACAGTACACACACTTATATTGTGTATTATTTTTTTTATTTTATTTTTTTTGTATGTGATTAATCGTTGCCCAGCACTAATAATTTGATTATAAGTGGCACTCCTACTCTACTGTAGATCCTCGGACCACAACACAACAGCCTTTAGAGTTCATTTAACCGAATAAAGAGCTTAATATGATTTTTTTTTTTTTAATAGTGTGTTATTCTAGGAATGCTATACATGAGTTCTCGTGTATCGTATGACATTTAATGCGTATTTCAGACACCCTATCAATCGTAATGTGCTAACAGATGACAGCATTCCTGGTCTGGTACATCACAACCTGTTGTAATGTACATTCTATGAGCTTAAAGTTAACATAAAATGTCATTAAAACCAATATTATTTTTTATACTCTCAATCCTCTACATAACCTCTAGGATGAGCTGCACCTTTCAGAGAGGAATCTGATCATAAGGGCGTCTTCAGGCAGATCACACTGTGTTAAACACTGCATTTCTTCTGCTAAAGTCCAGTTATGACATACTTACAGCGTTCAGCTCTGTCAGAGACGTGTGGTTGGCCTTCTGTCGCCGCAGGTCAGATTTTATAAACGCTGTGAGGCAGAGAAACAGTCTGATTATTGAAAAGAGTTCATTTGCATTCACATGCACTTATTCAAACTTCTTAAAATAGCCCCCATGGCATGGTTTTACTTCAGTTAGCCTAATAGCTGGTTTGATTTGCATTGAAAGATGATCTTATGGAAAGTACCCCATGCCAATCTCTCGGTGTGGTGAATGGTGTGTGATGATGTGGGGATATTTTAATCCCAAAGGCCAAGGGAACTTAATCAGGATGCATATTATCCTGGATCCATGAAATAACTGGCTTTTAAAAATAAAAATCTGCCTGACTCTATGGGAATTTAACATAGGCCTGCCCTGACTTATGCACCCTGTATTTTAAGGAAAAACATTTATTTATTTATGATACGTTATTCATTCACAAAGAAAATTGGTGTCCTTAAAGGTTGGAGTTTTCCTCATTTTTCTAATTAAGGCATTAAGATCAATATCCAAAAGATGATTTTTTATTCCTCTTTTTAGGCAACTTTAGCATGGGGCAAACACTTATTCACACCACTGTATGTCAGAGGTCGCACACCTCTTGTTTAGGGACACATTGGTGTCTCACATTGGATTCGAACCCAGGTCTCTCACACCAAAGGCATGTGTCTGTTAGTGGTCACATGTTGAGTGTCATGTGATGAGTTTCTACCTGTCATGATGGAGCCGATGAAGAGGAACACACAGAGGAAGATGTTGCCGGCCAGAGTGCTGAAGTGATCCAGGAGTTTGCCCTGAATGATGGTGAATGCGATTCCAAATATCTGCACACATCAGGAAGATCGTGAGCATGTGTGCCGGGAGCTGATTTAATTTGATTTGAGATCTTTATTTTGAACATGTAAATAATAATAAATAAAAATACAGATATTAATCAATGAAACAAGGAATATCAATTAAAAGAAACAAAACAAAAACAAAAAACAACCCTCTATTTACATGTGCAAAAAGGAGTAGGAAGAAGTAAAACTTATGTACTCCTACCCCCCTATACCATATTTAAACAAATACCTAAAAAAAAAAAAATAAATAAATAAATAAATAAATAAAAATCTAAATAAGTAATCAATCTATAATCCATGAAAGTATTGATTCAGAAGTTCTATAAGGATGTTTCCCGATACATGACAATATTTATACTACGGGTTAATTCAATATAAGCTCAAGTTAACACTATGTTTCTCTGTAACTTATTTACAGATGTTTTAGATGTGACTTGGATTTAGATGTGACTTGCACATTTTAGAAATGTTAACTTGTGAAAGCAACCTGAACCATGAAAAAATGCAACATTGTAATAATTTAATAAAGGATTAGTAGTTAAAATAAAGGAAATAAAGGATTAGTAGTTGACTTTCAAAATGAAAATGTCCCGATATTTTACTCTCCTCCATGTCATCCGAGATGTTCATTTCTTTCTTTCTTCAGTGGAAAAGAAATGAAGGTTTTTTCGCAAGTTGTGCAGGGAGGTTTAGAAAATCAGTATCTAACCTGATGAAAATGTATGTATTCAATGTTGTCCGCATTATATTTCATCTGCAGCAGCATTGTGAACTTTTGTAAAATGTTTAGCCATTAACTTTTAAATGCATCAAATTGCAAAATCTCGGCATGAAAATCCTGGAGTGTGTTCCTCAAAAACATTCATTTCTTTCCCACTGAAGAAAGAAACACATGAACATCTCGGGTGACGTGCGGGAGAGTAAATTATTAGGAAATTTGAATCCTGAAGTGAACTAATCCTTTAAGTCCCCGGTTCGTAACAATGCAAACGATCTGCAGGTCTGGGATCAGAGAGTGTATCCATGACCTGTGCTGAGCAGTTGAGCAGTCCTGACGACGTTCCCTCCGACTCCGGGTACGTGAGCTCCACTGCAAACTCGAAGCCCAGCGGCAGATACCCCGTCATGAAGAACCTGCGCACACGACACCAGGATCACAACGGGACAAACACACGTGTGACTTTGGTTAAACCTTGAATTTTGATTTAATATTAATAAAAAATATTTTATTTTACAAAGAAAGAAAAACATTAATTCAAAGTAAACCGATTATTTATTATAAAGACCTGCCATACTTAATGATTTTTCTTTTTTTTTTGCTTTAAATTCACCATCACTGAAATAGTGGATATTTATCAGTCAGCCATCAGCACACACACACACATATATATATATATGAAGAGTTCAGATGCAAAAGCCTCTAAATGCCATTTGAAATTTTCTTCTACAATGATCATTTTTATCAAGCTTGTATATTTAAGTTCAGTAATTTCACTTAAATGACAATTCATAGGTAATCTTCATTGTCATTTAAGTGAAATTACTGAACTTAAATATATAAGCTTGATAAAAATGACCATTTTAGAAGAAAATTTCAAATGGCACTTAAAGGCTTTTGCATCTGAACTCTTCATATATATATATATATATATATGTATGTATATGTGCTGATGGCTAAAGTAAAAGTTAGACACTACTGTATGCTTTAGATCACAATGAAATCAAAACTGACTATTCTTATCTTTTATGGAATATTGCAGTATTTATTTTGATTTATTCATGCATCGTTGTTTTAAATTCATGTCTCATAATCTTGAATCCGAATTGCGGCATCATCTCTTCTCTGATGATGAGTGCGGGGCTATAACCTGTCACTCACATGTGATCAGCCAATAGCAAACCACAACCGTCCAGTCACCCAATCAATTCCCCACGGACAAAATCAAGCCCCGCCCACATTTGTTCTTGTTCCAGAAGCGTTTCACTTTGATATTTCTTTACAATAGGGAAGAAAAGACTTTTGTTTCATGCCGACATATTTGTGCCCAATGCATGTTGCAGCTCTTACCCCAGAACTCCTGATGTGAGGAACACGACCCACAGATGACCCCAGTTCAGGGTGAAGGCGTAGATCACCATCCCCACAAACGACAGCAGATAAACCGCCAGAGTCGTCTGCCTGGCGAGACAAAGACGAGGATAACAAGATGGCTGTGAGGACAAACGTTTTAGTGAATGTTGGCCAGCTTTGTTGCAGCATCACAATAACCCTGTGCAAAAAGCATCATATACTACATGTGACAGTATAATAGTCCTACAAAATGTTGAATATAATGTCATTTACAAAACATGTTCATTGGGATGGTTTGATCTTTAATCTTGGCAGTGATTTGTCATACATTAGGGGGAAATAATAAGAAAAAAACAATTATAGAGGAATAAAATATATCATGGTTGTGAGAGAGAATATATATATATATATGAAGAGTTCAGATGCAAAAGCCTCTAAATGCCATTTGAAATTTTCTTCTTTAATGATGATTTTTATCAAAATTGTATATTTAAGTTCAGTAATTTCACTTAAATAACAATTAATAGGTAATTATCATTGCCATTTAAGTGAAATTACTGAACTTAAATAGACAAGTTTGATAAAAATCATCATTAAAGAAGAAAATTTCAAATGGCATTTAGAGGCTTTTGCATCTGAACTCTTCATATATATTCACAGCATGGTTATACTGCAAATGAAGAAATGGGCAATATCTAAGTCAAGATGAAGGCTGGCTTTAATAATGTCTGATATTATTTTTATAAATATTTTACTTTATAGTTAAATTGTATTATGCACTAACTTACAAAATTGCTCTGAGCGCGTGTGTGGCAGTGATTTGTGCGCATCAGTGTGAAAAGTACGTCAAGCAAGTTCGTAGAAAGTTTTATTCAGTCCGTTGTAAATCAATTGGGTCAAACCATAGATATTACATAAGAAGTTCAAGTAAACGCCCTAGAAATCCACACTCATTCAAGGATGTGCATTTATTGCATGGATGGAGAAAAAGCACTGGATTTCACTACGCACACCATGTTTCTTTTTTTTACACTAAAAAGTTAAATAACCATTTCAAGTCTATCTGTTTCGTGAGAGCAACGGTACCGCAAAATGAGTGTAGCCTCAATATATTAAAGCAACAAAATTGTCAGAAATCCATTAGTGGTTGAGGAGATTCCCCCTTTCATGTAAAGCACTTTGAGTGTCGAAAAAAGCGCTAAATAAATGTAATGAATTATTATTATTATTATTAGTGCATGTTCACAGAGGAAAACACTACATGTCACTACATCAACACAACAGCAGTTGAGTGAAAGATTGGGAACTAATGTTAACAAATCAGACCTTATTGTAAAGTGGGGTGTCAAAAAAAAGGGTACGTTTTACACGACAACTATATGCTTAAAAGTTAAGTTTTTCCTTTGAGTTTTCCACGTACAGCGGTCCCCACTCACACAGATTACGATTGTGCATGACATCATCGTCTTCAGACTCACATTTTTGTTGTTTACATGGAAACCATTTTCAAAAAAACTTGCACTTTCGTTTGTGTTTTCGGGTACCCATTGTCGTGTGAACGAAAAATGTGTCGTGTAAAGGGCCTCTTAGTTCCTGGAAGGCCACAGCTCTGCCGGGTTTAGCTTTAACTCTGATTAAACGCACCTGATCCAAACTAATCAAGTCCTTCAGGCTTATTTGAATACTTCAGGTATGTGTGTTGGAGAAGGGTTGGAACTAAACTCTGCAGGACTGTGGCTCTCCAGGAACTGAGTTTGACACCCTGGTGCAAAGTTACGTTATGGGACATGTTTTGTCTCATGTCTAAAGACCAGCACAAATCCACACATATTTCTAGATAAAAAAAACATGCATTTCATAATCATGACCTGCCTCAATAGAAAAACAAGATTCCTGTGCATGCAATCAAGCCTTTTATAGCTTTAGCTCCCTCTGAATAAACAATGTATTATGAAGCAGTTTTGTACAACCACGCGTGAGAAACAGCCCGCTTCACCGCTGCTGTTGGGATCTGCCGGGGGCGATTCTGACTCAAACAGACGACTCTGAGCCGATTACAAGTGCCAGGATGATGTGTGCTCATTGAATGGGCAGTTTTCAAACCAGCGCTTCACAAGAGATAAGAGAGATAACTATAGTGAAGAATAACACAGACACAGAAAGAATGCATTCACAGGCAAGTATAAGAGTAACATCCTGTTTTATAACAAACACCAACTAATAATATCAAGAGATGGATGCAACTCTGAAAACAGAGAGCAGAACACAGACGCTAATCAAATCAACACTGTAAAAAGTGGTAACCTCACTGTAAAAAAATATTGATGGTTTAACTTAAAAAAGTAAGTAATCTGGTTGCCTTAAAATTTTAAGTTGACTGAACTGGAAAAAGTGAGTTAATACAATGAAGGAGAATGATTTAATCACCAGAAACTCAAAATTATATGTTATCTGAACTAAATAAATTATTTAAGTTGATTTGACAAAAGAAAAAATGTTGTGATTACTACACTGTAAAAAATATTGTTGGTTTAACTTAAAAAAGTAAGTAATCTGGTTGCCTTAAAATTTTAAGTTGATTGAACTGGAAAAAGTGAGTTAATACAATGAAGGAGATTAATTTAACCATCAGAAACTCAACATTATATGTTATCTAAACTAAATAAATTATTTAAGTTGATTTGACAAAAGAAAAAATGTTGTGATTACTACACTGTAAAAAATATTGTTGGTTTAACTTAAAAAAGTAAGTAACCTGGGTTGCCTTAAAATTTTAAGTTGATTGAACTGGAAAAAGTGAGTTAATACAATGAAGGAGATTAATTTAATCATTATAAACTCAAAATTATATGTTATAAATAAATTATTTAAGTTGATTTGACAAAAGAAAAAATGTTGTGATTACTACACTGTAAAAAATATTGTTGGTTTAACTTAAAAAAGTAAGTAACCTGGTTGCCTTAAAATTTTAAGTTGATTGAACTGGAAAAAGTGAGTTAATACAATGAAGGAGATTAATTTAATCACCAGAAACCCAAAATAATAAGTTATCTCAACTAAATAAATTATTATAAAGTTGATTTGACAAAAGAAAATATGTTGTGATAACAAATCTTGAAAATATTTTTTACAGTGCTGAAATTGTTACCTTAATTGTTCTCTGAACATTCAAAACATGTTTTTAAATGTCTCAAAAGGATATTCAAATTTCTCCCACTTGTTCAGTTTCAGTGTTCAGTTTTCAGTCTTATTGTTTACATGGGTTTTGATGCATGTTCTCTAAATCAGCAGTTTAACAGCAAAAAAACTATTCTCAGTCAACACAAGGAATCATTCACTTCTATAATGCACTGACTGGTGTAATGAACTGTTGCGTTGAGAGAGAACAATAACTTCATAAATCTTCTACTGAGCATTGTGGCCGGGGGAAATGTTCGAATAAATTGCTCTTGAATAAATTAAATATGTATGGGTGTGTGTAAATAGCTGTCATTTAGAATTAATAGAGGTTTTAGCTCTATTTAATCTTGTTAATGTTGTTTAGTTAGTTGTGTTTTGTTCGGTGATTAGTAGTCTTGGGCTTTTTCTAATTTCAAGGTACATTCTCCTCCCAAGTGCCCATGTATTTTGCAGTACTTTATGTTTAAAGGAGCATTGGGGAAAACATAGTTCAACCAATCATTGACTCACAGACTGGCCGGTTAACTTTACTCATTGCAAGGGCCACATGTGAGTTTTGAGGAACATTGTGCTATTATTACCAATTTTTTTGCTCATTCATTCGTTAAGGTTTTACAGACAGGGCTTAAAATCTGCCTGAAAAACATTACTGGTGTGAATCTTGAGACAAAACCATGGTATGACATATTTTAAGATATGCTTTCAGTTAAAACAGCTCAAACATGCATTTTAGTCTGGGATTAGGCTTATGCCTTGGCTATGAAACCAAGAATTAATGCATTTAATAATGCTGACTTGAGTAGACTTTACATAAAGCTGTTAATCAACAATCAACAGAAATATGTCAATGCTATTTTTTTTTTACTTAAAACACTTCAAATTTATTTAAAGTTCAAATTAATTACATTACTTTTTCTATTTTGCAAAACTTGTAGTACATAAAATGTATTGCAGTTTCTAGCTGAAATGGACATTAGTAGCAGTTAAACAGAAACATCATTCCTTTTCACACAAGTTATGATTATAAGGGCATATTATTGATTAATACAGACACATTTGTACCATTCTGTTCACAATATATTGTTATGACATCAAAACACTTTTACCAACATTTTGATTGTAGTATGTTAAAATTATCCAAAAAAAAAAAAAGTTGAATTACATTGTGATTTACACACAACAGAGACACCACCAGAATTCATTCAGCTATCTACTGAAATTACAAGTAAATTAAGTCCAAGCTTACTGTGACGAGGTTGAAAATGTGTTAACAATTAATAACTATGTACCCTGCAAGGTTGTCAGCACATATTTAGGATTGAGGGTAATGTTTTAATTGTAGAGTAACCGTAAAGTAAAGACTCTACTTTAGAGTCTTAGAGATTATAACTCTTTCTGTAATGTAAAGAGCAGAGAGAGTTATAAACCCACGAGCACGTTTCTGAATCAAGGTCAGTAATAAACCCTGTAACCGCTGATCTGTCCTGCTAAATCCTCTAACTCATAATGTGATTAGGAGAAACAGAGGGTCTATTATCGAGAAAAGCGCATTACAGGCATTCAGCTGCTCGACATGAGTCAAAGTTAAGAGTTTGAACAATTTAGGAAAAGTCTAGGGGAAAAGTCAGTCAAAGATTTAAACAGTACAAATTATTTTCGAAGTCGTATGAATGGCAGGACTGAGATACAGAAAACGAGTGACGCCATGCCCCCGCTTTATAATGGTCATCGATTGACTTTAATTGAAATAATGAGTCGGATTTACATATTTTAACTGGGAGAGGATTCGAAAGGGCCTGTGATGGTTATCACCACGTAGAAAACACAAAGAAGAGTTCGAGAAGGGGTTTAGGGTCGAAAAATCATTATTACAGTGTATACAAGAAAAATTAAAACCATCTGTGAATCTTAAATGTCTGGATATTTGATGTTAATTACTATTAACACAAATGCCAATACCACTCAAAACATGTATCAGAACACAAACTCCATCAACAGCATTAAAAACTATCACTGTTTTTGAGCTTTAATAAAAACAAACTTTGCTATCATGACATGTGGATCTCAGGGGGAAGTGTAATAATAGAGATGCATCACTTACTTATAAGTCTTGGTCTTGTCTAGCCAGATTCCACAGATCAGAGAGCCAACCACGCCAGCGATGACAAGAGTCAAACCAATTCTCCCAGCATTCACCTCCTCACCCTGTGCTTCAGACAGTAATGATATCTGAGATATCTTCACAATATCAACCCTTTGCACTTAAATCCAAGGTAGCCATGTGCACTTCAGATAATACAATACACTGAGTCTGATCACTTGCAGAAAAAGGTACTGTCAGATTTTAATGGAGCATTTGCTAAGAATATTAATGATGAAGAAACTCACAGTGAGCAAATGTGTTTTCTCCAAATAAAGCACCATGGTGCAGTGTTGGCGTCAGATGACAAAACCACAGTACTTACCACACATACAATATGGTTTATTTATGTAAGGGATAATCCACAGCTACACTCTTAGAAGAAATGGTTCTATTTAGAACCAGAAATGGTTCCATCCCCCGCTTCATATATGGAACTCCAAAATGGTTCTATATAGAACCATTTTTTTTGGTAAAAGGTTCTATTGGCCAATTACGGAACCCCAGGGTTCTATATAGAACCCAGAGGAACCCTTTTTTTAAGAGTGTATAGAACCTTTTAGGGGTTCCAAATACATAGCACTGATAGAACCTTTTCTTCTAAGAGTGTAAGGGTGCATTACACAATTTGAATGCGTGACGTGAAGGCAAAGAAATGACTAGGGTTGGGTATCGAGAATCGACTATCGATTGGAACCGGGACTTTTCGTTTTTCCCGGAATCGTTCAAAAGTAAAAATTCCGATTCCTAGTTTCGATATTAAAAAAAAAAAAAAGTTTCGATATTCACAGTCCACCGAGCGGAAGAAGAAACCGCTGAACACCACCAACGAAGAAGCGTCTACCGGAAGTGTTGGCATAACCACGCGAGTCGAACATGAGTACCTTACGTCGGCGATCCACTTTTCGAAAAATATAGAAATCTCGGCAAAATGCAAAATTTGTGACAAAAGGAGTATTTTTACAGAAGGAGTATTTCCTTCAGAAAGGATTATTTCCTTCAGAAAGGTCGTTGATTAGCAAGGTTAGCTAAACTTTTTTGACCCTGTCTCTTAAAAGAATCGGAATCGAGAATCGTTAGGAACCGGAATCGAAACAAGGAATCGGAATCAGAATCGTTCAAATTCAAATGATACCCAACCCTAGAAATGACACATTATAATCGTGAAAAGTTAAAGATGTTAGCAGCGCAAAAATTGACTGGAAGAGTGAAAATAACATTTGTGACGCTTTGTAACTGCCATAATCATATTCCATGACATTTAAAAACAATACCACGCTATTACAATCTCCAAAAATAAAATAATACTTTTCGTATGCATCATTTAGAAGTAGAGCAGTACGAACTCACCGGGTAATGCTCGATTATCATCCTGTTCAACAGCGTGGAAACTGCGTAGAAACATCCAACGTTCAGTCCTGGAAACACAAACACAGGGACAAATGTGCTTTTAAATAAACATGAATCACAGGATTAAAACTGGGTGGAATTATGACAATTAGATGTTGAAAACAACTGCAATCTGTTCATTTGAGCAGCAAAACTGGGCCAGATATAATGACACTGACTCCACTGCTGTTTGTTTGGGTCATGATTATTTATTTATTTTTATATTTGACTATTTATAATTGACTATTTATTTTGACAGTCATTTCCTCCTGGGCCTGTTGACAGTGTCAGTAACTGGATGAAATCTAGTGTAATTAGAAGCGAAACACTCTTGACCTTTGACATCAAAATCTGACAATGACATTCATATAGTCAGCATGCAATGACATGACACTGGAGAACTGGTATGATTGTTGTTATTGTTTTTTTTTTTGGTGTTGTTGTTGTTTTTAGTCACTGTATTTTTAGATTACATTGTCAATTAACCTCTTAAGTGTCACCCCCCTTTTTTGAATATACATGAAAATGCACATTTCAAACTTAAATGGTTGTAATTCAAGAACGCTTTGGAATGTAGACATAAGATTGGTCTCATTTAGCACGAATAATGTCATTTCCACCACAACCTGTCTTTACCACCACAATGAACACCGTGGTGGAAATGATGGTGGAAATGACATTTCCCCCCTTTTCCTCTAAAATATCATGCTATGTTAATATTAGTTTTACAGTTATCATTAAATATACACAAATTACACATTATTAAATTAATTTCATCCAGTTATTTTTACGTCCATGTGAAATATGAGCCGTTTGGAAATGACGACCAATAAACATATTCTCAGTTTTAGTCATATTTACCTTGATTTTTCTTATTTTCGTTACCCCCTAAAGAGCTCACCCTTTCACCCAGCCATGTGTTCACTGTGGAGTTTCTATTGCTATGGTTACTAAGGATTCAAACCTAAAACATTGATCCCAGGATTCTATTTTGTACACTGTAGTGGAAATGACAGTGAACCCAAGGGACAAGGATTGCACTTATGAAAAATATAAGAAAATGTGAATAAATATTGCAATATATAATATGTATAATTGAAATATACATTATTTTATAATTTGTACTTAAAATCTACATTATTTAAATATTTAATTTAGAATTAAGCGAGGTTGAAGGTACAAAGTCTGGCTTAGGGACAGGGGAAAAACAGTAAAAATCATGCATCAAAGGCATCATATTATATAATAAAAAGAATGATTGAGCCATGATACATTTTTTATAAGTTCCCCTAAGGTGAAGTAAGTCTGACAAAAACAAAAAAAGAAAAAATGTTTTTTAGATTTTATTATTTCATCCAGGGACAAGAAAAGCACCATAGTTAAAGAATCACCCACATATTTTCACATTATTCACCCACATATTTTCATGTATATACTGTATATAGATTTATATAGAATTTTTATTATATATAAATATTAATATTTTATATATAAATAGTATTTTTTTCTTAAATATACATGTATGTGTGTGTATTTATACATCTAAAAAATAATCATACACAGTGCACCCACATATATTACAAAAACACAAACTTTTATTTTTGATTTATCATTTGACAGCCCTATTAAATATGCAATTTTGGTGATCAAAGATTTAAGATATACAATTATTGACTACAGGGGGAATATAATTAGATAATACTCCTAATTACAATAGTACAGTAGTTCAGAGCAAAATATGCAAATGCGCTTTAAGTCGCCTATAAGAATAAGAATTAGCGGTGTGTACCGTAACTGATGAGGAGGATGATGAAGGGCTTGTTGCAGAAGAGTCTTACGATTGAAGCCATGTACGAGCTCTGTCCCGTGGGCATTTCTCTGAGCGCTACCTGAGCCAGAGACGGAGGCTTTTCCGGTTTATCCTGAAACACTGAAGCACACAGACCATCAAAACCACCATCACCAAAAAAGCAATTCATTAAACCAGAACATTATCAATCAATCAACATGACCCTGTTTCATTTTAGACAAAACTGACAAAGTATTACAATCATTGATATAATGATTGGGCAAAAACATTGAGCATAGTTCATTTTACATGATAAGTAAATTGCATGTAAACACGTCTGTTAATTCTGTTAATCCACTTCTGTTAATTGCATTCGAATGGATTTATTGAACGATTTACAGAAATGTGTTCTGCTCGTGTTTCCAAAACCAAACCATGTCATTCACTCCATCAATAGAGAAAAAACAGCAGAAATAATAAATGCATAAAATAATAGGGAAGAAAAGAAATAAATGAGTCACATTACCACAGATATTGAGAGAGCACTGCAGAGGGAGCGAACATGGCCGACACACTAAACTTTAGTGACAACTAAAGTCTTTGTATGAATCAACATATAAGTTGCATGTGAGAGCTCTGACACAGCAAGAGAGAGCAACAGGAGTGTCTTTTCGAGTAGCCTGTGCCTTTGCACCATGTTACTTTTGGCCTACCTCTTGTTGTGTTTTGTTTAAAAAAAAAAATGCTGACTCGAATTAATTGTTTTGCCATCTTTGCTTTTGTTTTTATGTATTTTGAATGCAAATGGCATTTTATTAAAAAAATGTTGATTTGTTATACATGTTTTTTAAAAATTGTTGATGAACATTCAGATTTGGACCTTTGACTAGACTTTTTTGAGGACACTTTTAAGGTATTATAAGGTTACAACTAGGGTTGGGTATCGTTTGAATTTGAACGATTCTGATTCCGATTCCTTGTTTCGATTCCGGTTCCTAACGATTCTCGATTCCGATTCTTTTAAGAGGCAGGGTCAAAAAAGTTTAGCTAACCTTGCTAACCAACGGCCTTTCTGAAGGAAATAATCCTTTCTGAAGGAAATACTCCTTCTGTAAAAATACTCCTTTTGTCACAAATTTTGCATTTTGCCGAGATTTCGTTATTTTTAGAAAAGTGAAGCCACACTTTGGATCGCCGACGTAAGCTACTCATGTTCGACTCGCGTGGTTCTGCCAACACTTCCGGTAGACGCTTCTTCGTTGGTGTTGTTCAGCGGTTTCTTCTTCCGCTCGGTGGACTGTGAATATCGAAACTTTTTTTTTTTATATATCGAAACTAGGAATCGAAATTTTAACTTTTGAACGATTCCGGGAAAAACGAAAAGTTAGTCCCGGTTCCAATCGATACTCGATTCTCGATACCCAACCCTAGTTACAACTGATGAACACTTTGCTCAACATGACAGAGTTGTTGCGAAGCAGGATCCAAATGCAAGCACACATTTAATTAAACAAACAGGTATTCCACAGAAACTCAGAACAGGAACAAGGCTACAGGCAACATAACAACATCAAGAACTCACAAAGACTGAACTAGACAGGGCTTAAATACACAGGCAAACAAGGGAGTGTGGCTAATGAAAAATACCTGGGAACAATCGACAAGACACATAGCAAACAGTGAATAACATGACAGACACGAACAAGGAACAAGCACAAAACCCACACCATGACTATGGGCGGCTCCCAACGGCCATCAAACAAAAATACAAAAGTTCAGAGGGTGGTGAAGTGGAGATGGTCTTTGGGGAGGGATGGAGGGCCAGGACCGTGCAGACAACATGACCAGGTTCTTGCTATGGTGGGCCATGGAACGTGGGCGGAGTGCGGGCGGCCACGGCGGTGAAGACCCCTCGGGCGCCATGGTGTGTACCTACTCCCCCTTGGGAGTAGCTATGGGATCATAGGCTGGAGTAGGCACGGGAACAGACAACACTGGCTCGGGGTCGGGAAAAGATGACACCGGCTCAGGCACAGGAACAGGCCATCTTGTCCAGAGACCCTGGCTCGGTGGAAGTGACATAAACAGACATAAACTGGGCTGAAGTGACGTGAACAGTCTCTGACTGGGAAGAAGTCACTAGGACAGTCTCTGTCATAAACCGGCACAGGAGACTGGACTGTGGAAAAACGTATCGAGAATCGAGACTAACTTTTAGTTTTTCTCGGAATCGTTCAAAAGTTAAAGTTTCGATTCCTAGTTTCGATATTCACAGTCCGCCGAGCGGAAGAAGAAACCGCTGAACAACACCAACGAAGAAGCGTCTACCGGAAGTGTTGGCATAACCGCGCGAGTCGAACATGAGTAGCTTACGTCGGCGGTCCAAAGTGTGGCTTCACTTTTCTAAAAATAACGAAATCTCGGCAAAATGCAAAAATTGTGTATTTTTACAGACGGAGTATTTCTTTCAGAAAGGATTATTTTCTTCAGAAAGGCCGTTGGTTAGCTTAACTTTTTTGACCCTGCCTCTTAAAAGAATCGGAATCGAGAATCGTTAGGAACCGGAATCGAAACAAGGAATCGGAATCGGAATCAGAATCGTTCAAATTCAAACGATACCCAACCCTAACCATGTCCCCTTTTTTCGGCCTCAACGAGTCCCAGAGAATCTGGCCAAGTGAGTTCCAGATTTTTAGAGTTGATACTGCTGGGTCTATTCACGTTTGGTGAGTTCTCCTGTTACGAAGCAGCAAAGAAGGAGGAAGCAGGATCCAAATGCAAGCACAAATTAAATTAAACAAACAGGTATGTAATACACAGGGCTTAACTACAAAAGCAAACAAGATAACAAGGGGGCGTGGCTAATGAGAAATACCTGGGAACAATTGAACAGGGAATCAGACAAGAACAAGGAACAAGACACAAAACCCACACCGTGAAAACAGGTTTTTTTAAAGCAGCACTTTACAATAAGGCTCATTAGTTAAATTAGCTAACTACCTTGGTAAACATCCCAGATAGCAAACTGACATTGAATCAACGTGGAAATATGACATCGAAACAACGTTGATCTGACATTGTTTTGCTCATCGAATTAACGTTGAACCAACGTCAGACGCGTCATTCTTTCAAAACTAACGGAAAATCAACTTGAAATCAACGCGTTGTTTCAACGTTATGAAAGCAAACCAATTTTCGATTTTCATTTAGCTTTGAAGAATGCCGCGTCTGACGTTGGTTCAACGTTAATTCGATGAGCAAAATCAACGTTGTTTCAATGTCATGAGAGACGTCGTTTCCACGTTGATTCAATGTCAGTTTGCTGTCTGGGATGAATAAAGAATGAACAGTACTTCTACAGCATTTATTAATCTTATAAATCAAAGCTTGTATTTGTTAACATGAGTTAATACACTGTGAACAAACAATGAACAGTTGTATTTAACAAATATGAATAAATACTGTAACAAAAGTATTGCGCATTGTTAGTTCATGTTAGTTTATATATGAACTAATGAACTTGGTGTTACCCATGTATTTTTGATTTCTGCAGGTAAACAGAAGCTGATGACAATGTGTTTATGTTTAAGAGCAGAGGAGGTTTTTCCATTGATTTAACATGCCGGATAATAAAACTACTGCATCATCAGTCATGTTGGATGTTCATTTACTGCTGAACGGAGAAGTGCTCACCGAACACAACCAGCAGAAAGATGAGGGTGGCCACAGCGGCTGTGAAGAAGAACATGACTCGGATGTGTTGAGCCAGTTCACTGATGTCCTCCACGTTTGGCACGAGCACAGGCGGGAGCAAGAAGCCAATAGCAATGCCAAGCTGATGGGGAAGAAATAAAGAATTAGAGTTGACCTAAACTCACATGAAACTGAAAAGCTCTATTCTTTTTGGCTTTTTATTGGTATATTACAAGCCTATCATATTTTGTGCAGGCAGTGCGAAGTTACACCTGTAAGTATTGTGGTATTCCACCGACACGCCCCCAAATCATAAAGATCCCCCTGCAGCCAATCATTTTATCCCTCAAAACTCATCACCAAATTTACATATTTAAAGGTTCTATATGTAACTTTTTTATATAAAATGAATCCTTTTTTATTGCCTGTGTTTAAAGAGGGGTTGTAATCACACATTGCAATGATCCACTTTTCGGGTTTTGCTATTATCTCTGAAGGCCAATATTCATATTTATATGTGAGGTCTCCGGGTCGGATTTCCTGCGAAATTCATCGGATGTGACGTGCATGCGCTCCCGAGCCTCTCTATACAGTCAACCATGCGACCAACGGCACTTCAGCTGACGACATTGAGTCTGATAACCCCCCAAAACGTCCTGCCTCCAGCACAACACAGACTCCAACATAAACTCCAAAAAATATAAAAAACAAAAAAAGCTCGTCAGGCAAAACGTGAATCTGATCGACTCCGGACGAAAACGCGGATCAACATAGTAAAAATAACAAGGTAAATTACATGAAACAAGACATGAATACAAAATAATGTTTCAGGATAACAAACAGTCGGTGCTTTAGGCTGTAACTTATTTTATTTACTAGATCTATTGACTAACGTCACTCATCGCACTACTATCATATTGTTTATACACATTTCCAGACACGTTCAGTACAGTAATGTCACTACGATCTTACTGATACACTGAAACTGTTCAGTTTAGTTCACTAACCGTTTTCGTTATCATATTACACATTCACCTGTGTTGACATTGCTGAATGTGAAAGATACACGAAAATAGTTCGTGAAATGGCTTATGCTATATAATAGGGTTGGGTAATAAATATCGATTTCTCGATATTAATCGATTCTCATTTTTACAAACCGATATCGATTCTTAAATCTCAAGAATCGATTAGTCATCCTGTTTCATTTGAATGAATGGGACATTGTATCGCGGCTGCGCGCATCCAACAAATCGCAATAATCTTTGTCCTTTGTTACTATTGATATGAAACAAAGTCTCAATTTTCAAATTACGTCCATTTTCTTTAGAAATTCAAAAACATAAATTGCGTTTTGCCGTTTTGGCGCTGTGGCGTGAGATCGCTCTGGCTCAGCTCAAGAGAAGCAGCGCTGATCTCTCTTCCGGCTTAATAATACCGGTCACAGCGCCAAATAAACATGAATGAGCATCTGAAAGTGTGTTAAAGATAGAGTACAACTTATCTAAATCCCTATCATGTCACATTGATTCGCTCAATCTGCGTTTCAACCGTGGAAAGACGTCAGTTAAACAGCTTGTAATCAATGTCATCGTCATATTTACCTCAGAAAACTCCACATAAACTCGTTAGTCCACACTCGTTAGTGTTCTTCAATATTTAATGCATATTTGAATAAATCTGGCAAGTTTTTATGACAGCCACCATTTAAATGTTTATATTTCATATAATCTTCTTATTATAAAAATAAGTAAAAGTGTAATTTAAGTGTCTGTATAGCTACAAAACAGTTAATTATTACCTTCATATTAGGCTAATGAAGCCTAGTAGGCTACAACTAGACTATATTTATAGACCATAGTTTACAGCATTTAAGAGATTTGATTCCCTTGAGAAAAATTGCCATTTATTGTAACTGATATCCAAAAAAATCGACATTGAATCGAATCGAATCGTAATCGAATCGAATTGCAAGCTTGTGAATCGAAATCGAATCGAATTGTGAAATTTGTCTCAATACCCAGCCCTACTATATAACATCACATGTCGGCTAAATGCAGTTTATTGTAACATTATGATCATGGTACGAGCACAGAGCATTACTTCAACGTCAAGCTGATAAAAGTAGGCTATTATTGTACCTGCAGTGGGAGTTTACATTAGTTTCCAGCATGCTGTGTGATGATTTCGCCGTTGCGTTGAAAGTCTCCGTGTGGCCGGTAGTGAATGATTGCTCGCTCTTGAGATCGAGCACGCACACGAGCACGAGCGCTCTTGTTGCATTCTGAAAAATCACCGCTAGAGGCCGCTAAAAAACACATAGAGCACCTTTAAGCGTTTTTAACCACAAGAGCTGAGAAGTGAAGCCAAAGCGTCTCGATCGCCCCCTGGTGGCTGGTCCCAGTATCGCTCATTAACCCGTCCTCTAGTCTGATGGAAACTAAACAATCAAATTACACTCAAATACATTTTTTCCAAAGATTCAAAAGACAGATTTTCTGTCATTTAAGGTAGTTTTTATCACGCTGATGTAAGTTTAACTGTTTTTTTTTTTAAATAAGTTTGGTCTTAGTTAGATGTCATGATTGACAGCTAAAAGTCACAGAGGCACAAGCTGAATTTTTGGGGGAATTTTCAGGAGGAAAGTGAAGCTTCAGCTTTAATTTATTCGTCCATAACTGTTTATTTCACACCCACATAATGAGTTGTTCCGCATAAACTGAACTAGCGGTTACGCTAGTTGCGCAAGAAGTTAGCGCCATCTTAGGACTTTGGCGGCTTCACTTTTCTCCAATGGAAGACAAGGGGGCGTCGTCCATCTTTTCTTACAGTCTATGGGTTCTATGAATATGCAAATGATCCCCGCCTCCACCCACTCACTCATTTAGAGATCCACTGGTTGTCGATCACACGTTGATCTGATTGGTTACAAGGTGGTTTGTGATGTCAGAAACACCAGCGATTTCAAAGCGTGTTTTTGAGACTGTCTTTGGTTCACTGCAGTTTTAAGGAGGAAACTTATCAACTTACACACGGTGTGTCATATTAAAAACACCACAGAGACACATAAACAACATTAAAAGTTAGATCCACCACAGGGGAGCTTCCCCTAACTTCAACTCACTCTTTCCGACATGACTTGAACACACCAGGTGAAACAGGACCCTTGATGAAAGCGTTCAGAGTGATGATGAGAAATAAGATTTTTGTTATTTACTAGTGTGCTACAAAGCCATGGGGTCACAGGGGTCATCTTTCATTTCAGAGCCGGTAATTGAGAAATGTGTGTGAGGACACAGTCTAACATCTCATGCCTTCAGTGCACTAGAGCTAAAACTCCCATCCGTAAAGCTCAGTTACCTCATTTACACAGAGGTGGACTTAGTACATTTACTTAAGTATTATGTCCTTTACTTTCTGGAAACTTGCTACTTTAACTTCACTACATTTGAAAAAAGTGAAGGGATGATTCACAAATGTTTTGAAAGTTTTGTTTTCATGGCAAATAAGTATTTCTGTTTTGCTTTCAAAGCAGTATTGCTATTGGACTTTACTGTACACATAGATGTATACTTCTTTAGTTGGAGTTGTAGGAGTTATAAATAAAAAAATGAAGATGATTATGTCACTCTTTTTTTGTCAATACAGTTGTTTAATTTTACAACACCCAAAAACCTCTTAATTTCACAAACTGTGTGTATTCACTAGGTTGCTTCAGAGGTATAAGGTACTACAATGCATTTACATTTACTTTTTACTTCTGATACTTAAATGCTTTTAAAAACAAGTACTTCTGTACTTTAACTTAAGTAACAATCAGTCTTAAAGAAGTAGTTCACTTTTAAAAAAAACTTTTGCTGATAATTTACTCGCCCCCATGCATGTCATCCAAGATGTCCATGTCTTTCTTTCTTCAGTCGAAAAGAAATGAAGGTTTTTGATGAAAACATTCCAGGATTTTTCTCCATATAATGGACTTCAATGGGAACCAAACAGTTCAAGGTCCAAAAGACAGTTTCAGTGCAAACTTTTCAAAGAGCTTTAAACGATTCCAGACGATGAATAAGGGTCTTATCAAGTGAAACGATCGCTCACCGTTTGGTTCCCATTGAAGTCCATTATATGGAAAAAATCCTGGAATGTTTTCATCAAAAACCTTCATTTCTTTTCGACTGAAGAAAGAAAGACTTGGACATCTTGGATGACATGGGGGTGAGTTAAATTATCAGCAAAAGTTTTTTTAAAAGTGAACTACTCCTTTAATTAACAAACCCCCACCCTGTCCATATCTATTAGAAGCATACACACCCTGTGTTGAGCTCTGTACTCACATCCCAATATCTTACAGTCAGCGTGAGTCATATCGTGATCATGACCAGAACACTTTCTGAATGACATCACAGCCAATAACACAAATGCATGAGATTTTTAATAGAAAAGTAACTTTAAAGCAACTTTCATTGCATTCAACAGTATTTACTCTATCAGTTCGTGCATTCCCTGGGAATCGAACCCATGACGTTGGCATTGCTCGTGTCATTGGCGTTGTTCTACTGTTTGAGCTGCATGTAACCTTTAGCAACAAACAACAACAAACTTTTATAACAGTAACAAATGATTCGGAGACTGACATGACACCTTCAGGACACAGGACACATGTGATGAATGTTTATGACAACTGTCATTTATAGTCATTCACTCAATTATGACATTTTTAATGCAAATATGACATTGTTTGAGATGTCTTTGTTATGACAAATATTCATGACACAGTTATAATGGCGTCATGACAGCCAGTTTCAAAACCAACCACATGACACTTTAATGTAATGTTAACCCATAAAGATAAAGTTTCTTAAGTTTGATAATTAATCTACTCTGTCATGTTTATGAAATATTTATAACAATTTATGTTGTCTTGATAATGTCAAGTTGTCATTACTAAGTCACTGACAGGTTATGATGTATTGGTTTATGTCAAGGTGTCATCTCAAACAATGTCATATTTGCATTAAAAATGTCGTAATTGAGTGAATGACACTTACATACATAAACACTTCTTCATATTCATCACATGTGTCCTGTCACGATTAGGAAGGTGTCATGTCAGTCTTATGCACACCCCTTCCAGTAAAGTGTCACCAAACAATATGTAAGGAAGGAAAATTGTGCAAAGCATGCTGGGTCCTTTCAATATCCATGAAAACTGTGGTTATCAATCTGACAAATTAGGTTACATAACGGTGTTATGGATTTATATGAAGCAGAAATAGAGCCTTGAAATAATTTTTTAAGATTATCAAACCTATCACCGCATTAAAAATCCTGTAGCTTGTTCACATTCATCGAAGGGCCGAGTCTAGTGCTGTCTTTTAAATTCTCTGATTTTGATTTTCATAATATCATGGTATATAACCGACGATCTGTGCATTTCATTCATCTTGCCTCATATAATCTGCCTGCAGCAGAATATATTGAATATGATTTATTTAGTAAGAAATTAATGATATATGCGATTGCATATGTTTTATTTTTTGCTCGTCTGCCCAGTGTGTGTGTTTGGTTCTGTGTGGCATGTGCTCTACGGTCAGCCAATAATAACTCTAATATTAGGATAACAATAAAATCACCGTCCCTGTGTTAACTCAGATAAATGGAGGGTCTTATCATTCTTGTGCTGCATTTCTTCCGTGTAAACGAGTGGGAACTTCACACGCTTGAACACACATGTCCTTATCCATCTAATCTGCGGAGATTATCGCTCTCGCCCTCTAAAGACAGCAATATCCATCATGATGATGGGGTTTCACATCATCACTGTTATATTCACTGTATTTTACTGTGACTTTATCAGCGGTCGCTATAATATGAATTATATGGTGGATTTTATTTATTAAAAGCATAACGAGGGGCTTAGGGGCTGGTTGGGACATCAGAGACATATTATTGTGTAAAGTGCATTACAGGACCCCTTAAAATAAGTTTTAAATAACTTTTATAAGCGTGTCTTCTTTGCATCTCACGTTTTAAACTCAAAAACGCGTCTGTGAATGGCACTCGGAGTTTCAACCGAGGCATATTTCTCATTCTGTAGCGTGACATCTAACCTGTCAGGTAGTGAATATGGCAAATCTTATCAAATGACAACGCATTCTCACCCCAAGGCGTCACCTTTGACCATGCTTCAATATTTGACGTTTTAGGCGCCCTTTAGCGTCACTTACATGACGCGATCCTACGGCGTCATCTAACTGACGCTAAAGGAAAGCGTGAACAGTTCTTAAAATAGGCTAACTTATTTTTTCTTAGTGTAAAGAACATTTAAATAAACAGCATCTCCCCATTAAAACGTTATATGCAATAGAAAGGTTCGTGGATGTTAAAGGTTCTTCTTTAATATAACGGAATGCCAAATAAACAAGAACCCTATTATGTGGATAGTAACCCTAAAAGTGTATTAACTATGATAGATTGATTACCATTTGTGGCTATAACAGTTTTACTACAAACTCCATAGTGTAGCAAAACGGTTCATAGTTACCATGGTTTAACTATTGTAACCATGTTTTTGTTTTGTTTTAGGCTATTTGTAGTAAAACCATGGTTCATTTTCGTAAGGGTTTAGTGTATCCTAGTTGATTAATGTGACTAATATGCACGAGGTGTGTGTTTCGCGTTATGTTACGGTTCGTGCGCTTTTACGCACCTGGTTTCCAAAGACGCCGATGGCGCAGGCGGTGGACACTTCATCGGAACCGAACCACACGGACGCCACCTGAGACGGCATCCCTAAAATGAACACCTGAGCAAAGGAGCAGGTGAACTGTCCGAGCATAGTGACCCAGAACAGGTTTGGCTGGACGCTGGCCACTTTGATCCACGTGCCCGCGCAGTTGACGGAGGCTGCGAACAGCGCGATCACCCGGAGACCCTTCCTCTCCAATAGCCATGTCACTGGAAATATCAAGGGGATATAAGTCAACATATAGATCATCGACAGCCAGTCGATGGCGAATGAAGAGACGTTGTAGAATTTCATGAAGATGTTGTTGATGATTCCGTACTGGATCCACTGGAACGCGTTGCACAGTGAGTTTGAGCTGAATAGCAGCAGAATGAGCCATCGTCTCCGGTACACACGAGTGTCAGAGCTCGGAGCAGTGTTCGGGTCTCTGCACTCGCGGAGTTCGACGTGATCCATGTTACTTTTCCTCTGAAGATCGTCCGTTCCAGAGGGACTGTCTCCTTTTTCGCATATAATATAGTTAAAATCCACCGTCAGTCAAACTTGTATCATGAATCCAGAATCGCGTCCCTCTATTATATTAAGAAATTATATTCCAGACGCATCCATTGAGCCGTTGCAGATTTCCTAAAATCACACGAGCCCCAAATCATCAGGACAGACTTTGTTTCACACCCAATAAAAACTGATTCAAGATAAGGGTGAAGACAGAATCATACATCTCTCCAGAAACAACTACTTCTGTCTCTGATTCATGCGCGTGAGCTTCAGACTCCACATCATCATCATCATCATCATCATCATCATCATCATCATCATCATCATCATCATCACTCCAAGTGAAACTCTAGCACGTGATCTGCTGTTATTCATTATCTTCTGCGCGAACCAGCACATTATGATAGATCTGCACAAGCACAATAGTGGTAACTTGCCACATTAGAAAACTGCTTTGCTATATCTTAATTATGACATTAAAAAAAATTATATTAATTCGGATTTTTTTTTTACATATTAAGCGTTACAGTTATTTCTTAATATGTCATGACTTTTTATCTCATAATTATGATATAGTAATTATTGTCAGTTGAAATGAAAAAAAAAAGTCAAAATTATGACGCCAAGCGATAATAATGAGAATTAAAATGTAAAATGATAAGATACAAAGTCTAAATGTTACATTTAAATTATGAGAAGAAGTCGAAATTATAACAGTCTTAATTATAGAATAAGATTGTGACTTTTATATTTTAATTTTGACTCTAAATGTTATAATTATGATTTGGAGTTTATATATTATAATTATGCTATAAAGCATGATTTTTTTTCTTATGTGAGTCTCTAGTTCTATTGCATGCTGGATATTGAATTTTAGGCTGTTCTTTATTGTAAATGTTTGGGGCCCCGGGTCCCTCTGGTGGTTAGAATTGGTATCAATGCATCTTTCTTACCTATTAACACACATTATGACGACTTGCAATAGTCAAAAGTTCATTCTCTGGTACAATTTATGTAAAGTAGCCTACTATGATGACGCAGCTTTGATTATGTGCAAATAAAATGCAACATCAGTGCTGGACACACTTCACACAAACATTGTGTTGAAATGAAAAGTGCAGTGTTTCCCAAACTGGGGTCCGTTCATTTAATTCCAGCCCACCTTAAAATAACACACGCCGATCATGTATTTCTAACAGGTGAAATGTTATAAAACAGACTAAAATTATTTGGAAAAACATAAAATGTTCTTCATGTGATAATTTACATTTTATTTGTACTAAACTCAAAAGTAATTCATATTAACAAACTTATCTGATAGGTTACATCAATGTTAATTCAAGTAGAAATGGCCTGGACACTATATTTCAGTGGCTTGGTTCAATCAATATTAAATATTAAATCTGTGTGTGGCTGAAACACTCATGGTTCATACAGGCTACTCTACTGGAAATCTGAAACTAACTACACTCACATTTCAGTTAATAATAAAATTCCATCAAAATCAAATCGAATTGAATAATCTTTATTATTCATTATGAGTTAAGAGAAGAGAGCGTTGCGCGCTTGCGGAACTTGCGAAACCGGTTTTGAATATTGCCAGTAAGGGTTAGCGCAAAACTTCTGTAATGCGCGGGTGTAGATGAGCTTTAGGCTGGAAGAAATCCCTGTCACAGTCCGTCAACATGCGCGAGCCCGCAATTATCGAGAGTTTCGAGCACTTATATTTCTTCTCTGAAAGAGATCAGATTCACTTCTTGAGACTCACTGAGAACTGAAGCATAAGACAGCGGATCCTGCGATCTCTCCTCGATAACAATACGAGCTCAATATGCCTTTACTTCTAGACTCGACACCTGCAACACACACTCGGACAGCTTTGTCTTTTCCACAGATACTGCAGTGGTTCACTTGTGTGTCTGGTTTGGTGTCAGCTGCACTTCAATGCTCGTCTTCTCCAAAGCTACGGCTCGTCGCACAACTGTTTTCGACAGCAAGAATGGTTTGTTCGGGTGTACTTCACCTGGTTAACATGTTCTCGGGTGAGTTTAGCTGGATGGACCTGATTTCAGCTGTGGGCAAAATTGGTCATGGTGTAATATCTTTGATTCTGGAGCTGAGAAGATTTCAGCGCTTGACCAGATCCAACACACATTATAACGCGCTGAGATCCACAGTCGAGGAAACTGTGGGAACTGGGGAAACGAATAATCTCTAATCAATAACGAAGCAGGGATCCTTCTGCATCGTTATCATTACATCTATCATCTTCAAGAGTGAATGTGATGGGACTGTTCTTTACTGTAAAATAACAGATTGCTGATCACCGTCAAATCAGGCAACACGCGCAATCAGCAAGCGCGCTATAGAAACCTTATCTAAGACTTTCTATATCTGAATCACACTTCTTCACAATTCACTCTAGTTCATGTCACTTGTTAAGGCACTTAGTAGGCCCCTTCTGTCTCGAAAGACAATGGCTGAACCTTCTTTATCTGTTTCAGTCATTTTTGTTTGGTAGTCTCTGCCGCAATTTAGGCAGACAAAGCTTTTGTCCTTCAACTGCTGGAGTCTCTTCACTTCTCCTCCATATCAACATTGTCCTCTTGGCATTTTTGATCAACAGCAGCAATCCAGTTTTGTTGCTGTTCCGAGTTACAGTCTAAATCAATTATTAGGAGTTCTCCAACCCAACAGCTCGATCTCAAGAACTGCCAGGGACTTTCTGGAAAACAGTCCCATTAAAGTCGCTCTTGAAGATGTAAAGTGTTCAAAGTGATACTGGAGTTTGCTCAAACGGAAAAGTTTAATATCTTTGATATGAATGTTATCCTCAACTTTCGTCATATGATGTGGATGCTGGAATTCTGTAGAGCATTATAACATTTGTATCTCTTGAAATGTTGCATATCTTTAATAAACGTTTAAAAAAAGAATAAATGCTTTTTCGCTTGGTCTTGCTTTGGGATCCTTTATTAATTTGGTTTCTTTCCTTTTTTTCTTTTCTTTTTTTTCTTATACAAAAACAAATACAAAAACAAGACAAAACAGAAATGAACAATAACAATGAGATTACAAGACAAAACCACAAAAAATATTAAATCAGCTTAAATGTTTTACACCGTGACAGAGTCTTACATTTACATACAGTCTTACTTACATTTTATATGTATTCAAACTCTTTCTTAAACATAAAAAAGGAGTTTTCTCTGAAAATTTACATTTGATTATAACATTTGGCAAGAAAAAGTAGTAATTTAAATACAAGCTTAAAATGAGAAGGGTCTAATATCAGAGTATGTGTGGCTTATACAGTGGCTTATACACGTACCTTTTAACAAAGTTTGAAAAGTCAATCAAAAATCCAGAATAGGGGATGGGGGATGTTATTCAATTTAGCAAGTTTAGAGTTAACTGGGTAGCAATTGTAAAAACAACAACAACAACAACAACAAAAATAAATAGAGAATTCAACTATAATTTGGATTTCTTTTTTTTATTGAAGAAAATGTAAATTTACAAATAAAAGAGGTAAAACAAAGACAAATTATACAGAATAATTCCAAATCAAGTGCCATAAAAATAATTATATTACATTACAATTATAAAACATATAATAAAAAAATAATACAAAATAATAATACAAATAAAATAAGCAATGTATGATATAAAGCTGTTTAATCCTGACAATCAGATCCATTACAAAAAAATTTTTCATATATTTTCAGGAATCTATTACTTTTTTTATTGCTAGATAAACTAAACGATTTAAGCAGTGAGTCTACTTCAACCAAAAAAATGTGAGAAAATAGGAAGTGATCCCATAAATTTCTGTTTATGGATGAAAAGTTTGCCAAATAAAATTAAAAAAATTAAAAATGTATTCTTTGGATGAGTGGGAATCAGTATAATAACAAATAATATCTTTCAAATTAAAGGAGTGTGCATGAATGGGGGTTTTATTTAAATGAGAAAACATAGGCCAAAATTTCTGAACCAATTTGCAAGGAAAAAATAAGTGTATTAATGTTTCATCTTCGTCACCGCAAAACGAACAGGATATATTTGGACACCGTTGCATTAAAAGGATATATCTTATGTAATACTTTAAAGTGGACTTCTTTGGTCTTGTTAGGAATAAAATATGTATGTGGTATAGCCTAATAACCACGCTTTCCTCCATTCAATATTGTCAATAGAGGCAGCCCACTGGGATCTGCCCCTAGGGCAAATTAGATCTCTTTTTTGAAAATATATAATATGTTTAAAATATGTTTTTATTTTGAAAAAATAAAATATGTTTATTATTGCATTTCTTATCATAAATGCTAATGCAATCCAATAACAAAGCCGAATCCAACATATTATTTTGATGGTATAATAAGTGGTTCTTATTTAATCAGTTGCACTAGACCATAGGAATAGCTTTAAGCACATTTGTATTCTTAAAAGTGCCTGTTCGTGGAATTTAGAGAGTTTAATAGGGATCTTAGAAGGGGAGAAATTACAAGTTAACAGAAACTTAAGCCCTCCCACTTTATTATATATATATATATATAGGCTATATTATGTGGGATAAAATACCAAATAGACTCTGGTGAATTGACACAATTCTTTACCCAGTTCACTTTGAAAGTATTATTAACATTAAAAAAAAATCCAACATGTCAAAACCTCCGAACTTTTTTTTTAACCACATAAAACATGTTTCTTCAGATCCAAAAAAAAAAAAAAATCTTAAACAATAAACTATTGATTTGTTTACAGGTATTATCATGGACAAATAGCGAGAATGTGTTGATGGATATGTAAGTCGAGCGAGACCTTCAGCTTTAATTAAAAGAACTCTACCAAGGAAAGACAAATCTCTTTGAAGCCAATTATTAAATATTTGTTTAGCTTTTTTTTTTTTATTTTAGGGAGAAAATTCAAATCTTGTCTAAAAGATATTCTTTTGGAGATCTGAATTCCAAGATATTTCACATTATCTTTGATGGAGGTTTCCATAGTTTCATATAAGCAAAGAATTTCTCACTTATGAATATTTAAATTTAGACCAGAAGCCATCGAAAAGGAAATAATTGTTTCAAGAGCCTTGCCAACCTGATTAGTATTCTCTAAAAACAGGGCTGTGTCATCCGCAAGTTGTGAAATTTTCATCTCTCGGTCAAGGACACCCCTTTAATATCAGGATGGGAACGAATACTCAGAGCAATTCCACAACTAACAGAAAAGGGGAGATCCCACAACCTTGCCTCACTCGCCTATTAATAGGAAATCTATTAGAGGTATCAAAAAAACAAAAAAAACAAAAAAAAAAAAAAAAAAAACCGAGCTATTATAATATTCTTAACATATTAACTACTTTGGTAAACTTCTCTCCAAATCCAAATAACTCTTGTGTCAAAAATAGAAAATTGTGTTCAATGGTGTCGAACGTTTTACAAAAATCTAGAAACAATATTATTGCATCCGAGTTAATATGATGTCCATAATCGATGAGATCTAAAATTAACCTAATATTACAGCTTATATGTCGCTTAGGCATAAAGCCTGTTTGTGTTTCATTAATTATCTCAGATAAACTTGTTTTTAATCTTTGGCAAAAACTAAAGATATAATTTTGTAGTCTAAATTTAGTAATTGGTGTCCAATTATCAAGTGAGAGAAGATCTTTGGTATCAAGGTTGAGCCCTTGTTTCATGGAAGTACTTAATTCTTCATTAGTACTACATTCGTTATACATTCTAAGTAGTGGTTTCTTTATAGTTTCCCATGTGTAAAACTCAATAGTTAGGCCATCTTTTAACAAAGTTTGAAAAGTCAATCAAAAATACCAAAATGCCATTCTCTACACAGTCCCAAAACACATGATTGTCTCTAATGACAAAACGAGCACATGGGGGAATGTTACTCAATTTAGCAAGTTTAGAGTTAACTGGGTAGCAATTGTAAAAACAACAACAACAAAAAATTAACCCTCTGGTGCTCTTCGTTCATTTCTGACCAAAAAATTTTCTGTTTTAAAATTTTAAAAATCACAGCTTCATCGCAATGTTACGAAACTTGGAGACTTATGGCATTATGTATGTGAACACACGCAAAAAAAAAAAAATCGAGGTCATGATCTGAGCATGCTAAGCGGTCTTAAAAAAAATAGTCACACTTGTGATCTTTGTTCAAAAATGACCCCCAAGGAAATGAATGGGAAATTGTAAAAAAAAAAAAAAAAAATTGTGAAAAAAAATTGTGAAAAAAAATTGTGAAAAAATTTTTTTTTTTGAATTTTAGTTTTTTGTCAATTTTTTTTTATATAAGAAATAGTTTTTGAGATTGTTTCAACTATATATTCAAATCCACCACCACCAACAACAATATGTGTTTATAAACAGCTGGGCAATTCACATGCCTCTCCATCGAGAGCTGTACATGCCATCTAGTGGTTACACCATGATTCTACACCTTTTCTCTATACTGTAACCAGATGGTGCTAATTTTCTTCAAAAAAAATTTTTTTCTGAAGGCCTAGACTCTATATTAAACTAAAATACTGCATTAATATTTTTTTGAAAAAAAAAAAAAAAAAAAAAAAAAATATATATATATATATATATATATATATATATATATATATATACTATATATATATATATAGAAAAATATATATATACTATTTTTCTATATATATATATATATATATATATATATATATATATATATAATAAATTAAATTGTCTCAAAATACTAAATTAAAAAGAATAAATATTATAGAACAAAAATAAATTGCATTGGTTTTACTGGGATGGAGAATGTTTCATTTTTAGGTGTCCGGTCACTTTTGACCGGGAAGATAACAATTGTGACTCCGAAACGAAGAGCACCCGAGGGTTAATAGAGAATTCAACAATATTATAATAATATGGATTTCTTCACCACGACTACTAACCAGTTTGATGACGCATTAGTGACACCGAAAGCTGATTGGACTTGATGGATATGCGGGAAAAGGCTAATTTAATTAACAAAATGATTCCCGACGGATTTACTAATAAAACTATTCTGCACGAATCTCATATTCAAGACATGTCAACATTAAATCTGTAACTATTTATTAAATCAGATTCGATGTGCTCATACACTCTAGGTGTTTCTCAATGTCAAGGATACTTCCTTGGCAGGACGGGTCCTTCCAAGTCATTTCCTTAAGAGGCTAGGCAAGGGTCCTCTTTAGCATTCGGAGAACACGTAAATGGAACAGGCTAGCAAGTGCACGTCATTGCGTCATTACATCAGTGAAAGGTCCGCTTCGGCGCTGCAAAAATCATTGTGCTGGTGTACTGCACTGTTTAAATACACTTGACAGTCCTTATTTTGTCTTGTCAGTCCTTATAGAAATAAATAAATAAAGGGATAATGTATAACCAGGCGGTTGTTATAGTGAATACAACCCCGCAAACTCTAAAGCAGAGGGGTCTTGATCAGCCGGTTGTATTCGCTGTAACAACCGCCTCGCTATACATTTTCCCACTTATAACATGGCTAACGTTACCTACCAAATAAATCAATAATTTGACACAAAATATTGATTTAAAAAGGAGTTTATTCATTCAAAAACGATTATATTACCGGAGTTAACAGAACTACCTCCATATAGCAAGATCTAGCTGTTAAAACACATGCAATTGTAAAATATGTGACCAACAAAAAAGGCTATGAAGTAAAAATTAAAAAGTTAATCACCAGTAAAAGGGAACAGCTTTAAATCCCCTCAGCAAATTTGAGCCGATATGTTAAATAGTTTAACAAACATTAAATAAATGGCTAAACTGAAATTATACTTGCTTACATTTGAAAGCATATTGCCGTTATCACTCCGACTCCGCTAACGGTCGACATTTTTTATTTTTTTAACAAGATAGCAAAGCTGCGCATAGGATTGTGGGTGATTTAAGAGCGCGAAGGCTACACATATGCATCCTTTCCTGTGTATGGGATATTTTCCGAACGAAGGACTCAGTCCTTGGTTGAAATTCTGAGGATCCTCGACATTGGAACAGTCCTTCGACGGACGTCGATGACGTAGCATCCTCGAAATTCCGGCTTCCGAGGATCCTTCCTTGACATTGAGAAACGCCTTCTGCCCATGTGCGCGCGCGTGTACGTGTTATGTTACGTGCACATGTGACTCGAATTTCAGTTGCTATAGTTACGCGTTTTATGAATTGTGCATTTATTTACACTTGAACCGATCGCTTTCTGTTGGTTGAGAGACGAGGCGAATGAACAGACTTGCAGAGGATTTTCTGTGCGAAACTTGAGACTTTAAAGTCGTTTTCTGGAAACAGCAACAGCGGAGAGGAGACTTTTCTTCAAGACAAACATCGGAGGATATATCTTTACACAACTTTATATATAACTTTATATAACTTTAGTTTTATTATTGAAAGTATCATAATTTCTGCGAATACTTTTCATTTTATTGTTCTTTTCTTATTTTAGGAGTTAATTTAATTGTTTTAATTTTATTTTTTTATTGTTTATTTTTAGGAGAATATTTCTGAGATTTGTGCTTTATTGTATTGTATTTTGTGTTGTAATTTGTATTGTTTTATTGCAGCTTGGAGGAGGTCGATGGCTGATAGAGGAGGTGAGTGCTTCAGTTTTTCATGTATGGTTTATGGTGTGATGTTGTACAATGACTGACTACATTAATGTGAAGAACCCATTTGATCACATTTATTTGATTCCTTGCATGTGAAATAAACTTTTGGATTTTAAACTGAAGTAATCATTGGTAATTGACCACTGACATTGATTATTATTATTATTATTAACACATTACTAACTATGTGATGTGTAATATTTTCCATCCTCAGGCCGCCCCAGACCCCGGAGAGCTGCTTTCTCTCAGACGGCTGGTCAGGAGGTTTGGAGACCCGGTTCTGATGACCGTGATCAGGATCCGCTGCCAGACCCGACACAGATCCGGGATCTTCCTGGATATTTAACATCTCTCTCTTCTGAGTTTTCTGTGTCTGTGTCCCCAGGTCAGGTTCACTGGACGAGTGTGAAGCAGAACCCAGATGATGGACGTCCGCCCACTTCATCTACACACTCTCGCAGAGGTCAGAATAGCCTTATAACAAAGAAGTAAAGGCTTAGTTTCTGTTTTTATTTTTAATGACTGATTTGTCATTGAAAATAGAAAGTTAAAGTAACGGTAACACTTTATTTTGATGGTCCCTTTTGAACATTCTGTTGACTATAAGTACATTTTCAACCAGTCATGTCAACTTATTCTAACCCTACCAGTCTACTAATACTCTACTAATACTCTCCTGATACTCTACTGATACTCTAGTGAGAGTTAGTGGACATGTAGGTGCAATGTGTTATTAATAGACAACTGAATGTCTTAAAGGGACCAGAGTAAAGTGAAACCAAAGTAACAATATGATGTGACCACTGACATTAATTATTAATATTATAAAACAAAAACAGTGTTTGATGTGTGAAATGTTCATCCTCAGGCGGCTCCAGGTCCCGGGGAACTGCTTCCACAGATTCTTCTCTGGGCATCCCGTCGTCCTCAGCTTTAACCTCTATGGTCCGTGTGTTGAGGAGGTGTAGAGAGTCGTTGAGTCTGAGCAGCCGAGGCTCCTACAGCGTCGAGTGGAGGCGGAGTGGCGATGGATCGGAGAGCCCAAACCAACAGGGTTTGTCCAGGTCCGTTAGCCTCGAAGCGTTTCTGTGTTCTCCGCTGCCGGGTCAAGTTTCTGTCGAGCCACCAGAGACTCCAGAGACTGGCCGAACTGCTCAGGGTGCCGTGGAGGCTTCTCCAGCGAACAAGAGCTCAACAGGTGACACTGAGGAAACTCTACACATACAGATTTTGCTCTTTCATGCATAACTGAGTCAAGTTTTTAATGTTAATGTCTGCTCACATTTACTGAAATGTAAAATTTTGCTGAAATTTTCTTCCTGATTTAAAAAAAACCAAAAACAAACAAAACAAAACAGGGAAACCTATATATATATATATATATATATATATATATTAATTGCAGATTTTGCTCTTTCATGCATAACTGAGTCAAGTTTTTAACGTTAATGTCCATAAAAATTTCATACATTTTGCTGAAATTTTCTTCCTGATTTAAAAAACAACAACATAGGGAAACCTAATTATTTACACACATATATATATATATATATATATACTGTATATATTAATTGGATGTTCATCTAACATTTTCAGAACATTTTGCAAACATTCAAAAGTAACGTTCACATAATGCAAATTATTAAAATATAATGTGCCTTTAAAAGATAAAACATTTTTGAAACGTTCAGGGAACATTTAGAAATAATGTTTTCTCAGTTTAATGTGAATGTGAGCAAAACGTTCTCAATAAGACACACTGACACACACCAGAAACACATGCACAGAAAACGATCCAGAAAATAATTTCACCACTTATTTCTAATTATTATTTTTTTAGATAAGAATTTAACACAGTAAAATGTAAGTTATGTCATTATATCATTGCTTAATTTGACGTCAGAGATGTGTCTAATAGTTGTTTTCAATGGTTCACTTCAGGAAAAGCTCCAGACCGCAGGAAGAGGAGAAGAGCTGGTGGTTTCAGGCTCTGGAAGGCGATGAAGTGTGTTTTCTGCTGCTGTTCCTGCAGTGTTGGGAATGTTGTGGAGCCTTTTGTTGATCCTGAACCATCATCACCTGCTCCAGATCACTCCTGCGTCGAGCCAAATGACGGTCAGTCCACACTCACAACATTTTTCTAACAGTGTCTTATAAATAAGGCTTGTCTTTAGAGAATATTAATATTATTTCCCCCTTTATAATATTATTTTCTCGACCCGCACTGATATTTCAAATAAAACAATGGATCTAGCAAGCTAATACTTTTCTCCTATTTTTCAGAGTCCTTTGAGTCTCTCTATAACGTGGATAGGATGATTGGATCCGGAGGATTTGGCAGGGTGTTTCTGGGAACACGCAAGTTTGATGGCAAAAAGGTGAATCTCACTGAACTGTACAAACATTTTGCTCGTGCAAAACACATTTAAAACAATTTACAGATGGTTTAACACTTAGTGCCGTCAGGCCCTTGAATACCGTTACTGGTATTGAAACTGTTTTCGTTTGTTTTGCAGGTTGCCATCAAGCGGATGAGCAAGATCGACAACAACCGCTATCTTGATATTGTAAGTTGGCCAAAGCCTGAGTGTGTGTTGAGTTGTTTAAGTGCAGATGACAGTAGATAAGGTGTAAATGTGGGAACTTTGAGCTGAAAAGGCTCTTTTGGCTTGATATTTTTACCCAGCTAACCTTCTGTCTGCTACTCCTCTCTAGCCCGGGCATCCCGAACCTCTGGTGACAGAAGTGGCGCTGCTGATGATGATGAGGCGAGAACCCGTAAGCCCCTTCGTCATCCGACTCTACGAGTGGTTTGAACATCCGAGAGAATTCACTCTGGTTATGGAGTATCCTGATCCCTGCGAGAGCTTGCTGGACTTCATCAATCGTCATCACGGAGTGTCTGAACCAACAGCACGGGTCATCATGAGACAGGCTGTGCTGGCAGTGCAACACTGCATCGAGCGCGGGGTTTTCCACAATGACATTCATGCGCAGAACTTCCTGTTGAAGAAAACCCCGGTACAGCTCAAGCTGATAGACTTTGGGTGCGGTCAGCTGTTTAGTAGCGACGGCTACGACAGCAAAATATACATCGGTGAGCATTCTGGGAGTGTGGAAACCTGAATGCAGTGATTTCATAATTATTTGATGCTTTGAAAGAAAAAAGCTCAACAATGTGCAAATGTCTTGCTTACAGGATTACCGAGTTACTGCCCACCTGAAGTCTTGACAGAGCCTCGGTTCCACGCCGTCCCAGCAAACGTCTGGGCTCTAGGAGTGTTGCTGTACCAGATGGTGAACGCGTGCGCTCCTTTTCACACGAGAAGAGAAATCACACTCGCCAAAGTGACATTTCTGAACTGCAGCTTATCCAGAAGTGAGTGAATAATATTGATAACATTGATAAACACACACAGAAAGCAAAGGCTTTCACCAGAAACAGTTAAAGGTGAAGTATGGAAGTGGTTTTATAGCTCAACGTATAGCGAGAGCCATGGGGAAAGAAATGCAGACGTGAAAGATTAAACCTTCAAAGATTAAACTGGTCATGAACACGTCAACGTGAAAAGGCACATTTTCATAAAGACAAATGCAACACAACTAAAAGTGTTACTAATATGTCGGGCCTGAAACATGCCTTCACGAGAACCAGTTTGAGATGTTTCAGTCGGGGGAGACGCGACGCTCGGAAGGGGCCTTTGCAAGGTTTTGTGAAAATATGCTTTATTTTGTCATTTATTTCACTCGCTGTTACTAGTGTCGCAGAAACGACATACTTCACTTTTAAACTAAAGATAAGGAACATTTGAATCATGTTTTAGATGCTGTGTTCATAGATGCCAGGTCACATGGTCATGACTAACCAGCTCTCTCCTTATTCAAATGTGTACAGAGTGCAGGGATCTGATTAGCCAGTGTCTGTCCCGGGATCCAACTAAACGGCCCACGTTAGAGCAGATGTTACAGCATAAATGGATCAGTAATGATCGACAGTAGATTGGAGAAGTTCAGGAGATTCACTCGATCAGTTTCAGGTGTGAGGAAGTGGAACAGACAGAGGAGGATTATTATCTTTTGCCTGAAATTGACATTTTCAAGTTTGTGTTCATTGTAATGTTCGTGTAATAGTCAAGTCAGCTTCATTTATATAGCGCTTTATCCTAGACAGATTGTTTTAAAGCAGCTTGACGGTAGTAAACAGGAAAATAACAGAATCAGGGATGCAATTCAATTCTGTTCTAGCTCTAAAAAATCATTCATGAGTTGACTTGTTCATATAATCTTTGTGTTGGACAGGAAATAACATCCTTGCTGAGACTCGACCCGAAGCCTGAAGTTCAACACCATCCTGACAGAAACTCAGAGCCGGTCCACGTCTGAGCGAGAACATGAGAGACTGCAAGACTGGAAGAAGTCATCGAGTCCTCACACACACACTTTTGATTCGTTTCAAACGTCAAGACGAGTCATCTTTATTTATATAGGGCCTTATTTATGACCAATCTGTATATATGACCAGTCTGTATATGGGCCAAAGACTAGACATTTGTGTCCGCATCAAATTTAATTTACATAAGTAATTTTATATAAATAACCCTGTTATACTACAGGGCTGCTGAATGCTTCATTACGGAGGCGTATTGCATTCACTGGAAGAAAAAAAAAATTAACAAGTTAATTATCTCAGAATTACGAGATATTAATTAAAGAGTTAATTTTTCATGGGAAAGAGTTTTTGCTCCGTTTTTCTGAATTAACGAGTTAATGTTTCATGAGAAAAAAAAGGTTTGCTCTGTTTTTCTGAATTAAAAAAATGTCCTTGAAAAATTAACTCGTTAATTCAGAAAAACAGAGCAAAAACTTTTTTTCTCATGAAAAATTAACTCGTTAATTCAGAAAAACAGAGTAAAAACATTTTTTCTCATGAAAGATTAACTCGTTAATTCAGAAAAACAGAGCAAAAACTTTTTTTTTCTCATGAAAAATTAACTCTTTAATTCAGAAAAACAGAGTTAAAACTTTTTTCCATGAAAAATTATCTCGTAATTCTGAGATAATTAACTTACTAAATAATTAGTAAATAATAAATAAATTAATACATTATTTTCAAACAATTATTTTCAGGGAAACGCACGGCTAAAGTAGTTTCAGGCAGGTTTGACCGCATTACAGCTCCATATCACTGCGCGTCGTTAACTGTAATAACGGAAAATAGGAGACAATTCATAACGAGAGAAAACATGCAGCCCCATGCACTCGATCTGCGATTTTCAATGTCTAACTTTAATTTTAATAAATAGTTAGTTAGTTGGTAGTTTATTTTGAACATGTAGAAAACATAAAATAAAAAATATGCAAACATGAATTCATTTATAAAAATAAAATAATAGTTATATAAGGTAATGTGCTTCTCAGCACAAACTTCCAAAATTAATATAGTTTATTCAAATTAGCAATTCCCATGCTCAAAAAGGAGTAGGAAGAAGTTCATTAGGCCTACAAACTTTTCAGGTCCTACCCCTTCCTCTATTTTTATCATTTAGTTAAATACAAAACAATTTGACGCTTCTCTTATACATACGTCTTTACATAGACTGTATATCAACTGACCTACTGTTCACATAAACCCATTCATTCACATAGAAACAAATGCATACCTACATGCATGCAATACTATACTATTGTACAATACTATCGCCTCGAGGCCTTTTCATATTCATTTAATATCTTCAGTTTAAATAGTTTTTTGAATTCACTCATGGTTGTACATGATTTCATCTCATCAAATAAAGTATGTAATCCTATCTATAATAGACTAAATAGAACATTAATCTGAATAGGCTATGTAAATAAATGAATAGTCCTGCTGCACGGATTTTCGTAATTATTCGAGATAATAACAAATAAATAAATACTGATAGGCTTACTTATTTAGTGTCTTTGTGTCTTTTATTTATTGGGCTGTCTACTGTCAATTATAGAAAACAAGAATGAATAAATTGATTAAAACGAATTTAATTAATAAATAATTAATAATATTGACACACATGTTTCTCAGTCTCATTATTTCAACATCTCTCTCTGTCTCTCTGTCTCTCTCTCTCTCTAATAACTGTATAAATCCAGGTCACACTTAGTTCTACTAAGGCCAGTTATGAATGTAATTTGATACTTATGACTGATCATGCCCAATCATGTTCAGTCTGTGTTTACGACCTACAGTCGATGGAAACAGTCGGTCTTCGAATATTTCAGTGTGTCCCCCATCATTAGTCTGCTATCAGTGGCTCAAACCTCCGTAACTAACTCTAAAATGACGTTTTGGAATTAGCAACGGAGGCATGGGATTAGATGCGAATTTAAGAAATTAGTCCTACATACAAGAGCGTTTTGACAAAAACTTGACAAACGTCTTGATAATATGCATCATCTGAACAATGTTTTGAGGTGTGGTAACTGTAGGATAAGCGGAATAATTGACTTCGCAAACTGACATTGAATCAACGTGGAAACGACGTCTCTCATGACATTGAAACAACGTTGATTTTGCTCATCGAATTAACGTTGAACCAACGTCAGACGCGGCATTCTTCAAAGCTAAATGAAATCGAAAATTGGTTTGCTTTCATAACGTTGAAACAACGCGTTGATTTCAAGTTGATTTTCCGTTAGTTTTGAAAGAATGACGCATCTGACGTTGGTTCAACGTTAATTCGATGAGCAAAACAATGTCAGATCAACGTTGTTTCGATGTCATATTTCCACGTTGATTCAATGTCAGTTTGCTATCTGGGGAACTATCCGAAAAATAACTCGAGACCGCATTACCACCTCGGGTGTGCATTATTTTACTAATAATTCAACGGCCTGTCGTCAATTATTCCTTACTTAAATGCAAGTAAAGTGTCTTCCTTAAAGGTGACGTATTATGCCCCTTTTCAAAAGATGTAATGTAAGTCTATGGTGTCCCCAGGCCCAGAATGTGTGTGTGAGTTCAGCTCAAAATCCCCCCAGATCATTAATTATAGCTCGTCAAATTTGCCTCTTTTTGGGAGTGAGCAAAAACACGTCATTCGGTGAAATGCCACAAAACACTTCTATTGTACGATTTTTCTTTAAAATAAGCAGATGTTGTGAATAATTGTGATGAACTTATACAGTATAATGAAACAGTAATGGATCTGTGCGCTAGTTCTTAAAGTGAACGAAGCTATGTGTCTGTCATTAATTTTGTTGTCAAAACAACATAATAATAATAATGTTTATTTTCTATAGCGCCTTTCAAGAACCCAAGGTCGCTTCACAATGCAATACAAATAACAGACAAACAGATGGGAACAAGCAAACACTAATTGACATGAATCAAAGAAAAAACATTTTGTACTAGTTATCCGAATATACAGTTACCACAAAGTAAGTAGAAAAAAGAGCTGAGAAAGTGAAGAAAAGTGAAAACAATGTTGAGGATGCTTATTTATTGGGCAAGCTTGAAGATATGAGTTTTAAAGGGTTAGTTCACCCAAAAATGAAAATTAAGTCATTAATGACTCACCCCCATGCTGTACCAACCCCGTAAGACCTTCGTTCGTCTTCGGAACACAAATGAAGATATTTTTGATTAAATTTGAGAGCTGTATAACTACCACATTGGCTCCTAAGGGACTGCCTCTTGACGGCCCAGAAAGTCAATGAAGAAAATGTTTAAATATCCCAAGTGACTACCGTGGCTCAACTATATGTTTATCAAGCGACGCGAATACTTTTTGTGCGAAAAAACAAATAAAAATAACGAGTTTATTCGACTATTCCTTTTCTTCCTTGTAGGCCAGAAACGAGACTTCCTTATAGATTTCCACGACGCATGCGCGAGAACTGAACTGAAGTAGTGTAAGGAGATCGCAATTCTCGCGCATGCGTCGTGGAAATCTAAGGAAGTCTCGTTTCTGGCCTACAAGGAAGAAAAGAAATAGTCGAATTAACTCGTTATTTTTGTTTGTTTTTTCACACAAAAAGTATTCGCGTCGCTTGATAAACATATAGTTGAGCCACGGTAGTCACTTGGGATATTTAAACATTTTCTTCATTGACTTTCTGGGCCGTCAAGAGGCAGTCCCTTAGGAGCCAATGTGGTAGTTATACAGCTCTCAAATTTAATCAAAAATATCTTCATTTGTGTTCCGAAGACGAACGAAGGTCTTACGGGGTTGGTACAGCATGGGGGTGAGTAATTAATGACTTAATTTTCATTTTTGGGTGAACTAACCCTTTAAGTTGTTTTTTGAAGGTCCGAATGTTGTCTGTCGCACGAAGATTCGCTGTCAGTTTATTCCATAACTGAGGGCCGACAACACTAAAAGCCCTACCGCCCACCGTAGAGAGCCTGACCCGGGGTGCCACGAGAAGGTTTTCAGCGCTAGACCTAAGGGCCCGAGTGGGAACGTACGGCTATACCATATCAACAAGATATTCGGATGCCGGTCCATGTAAGGCTTTATATACTAGGACTAACAGTTTGAATTGAATGCGGTTTATGACAGGAAGCAAGTGCAGTTGGTGAAGGATAGGAGTGATATGGGCAGATGTTTTATTATATGTGAGGGCACTTGCAGCAGAGTTTTGTACCATTTGAAGGCAGTGAATTGCTTTGGTGGGTAGCCAGCTGTATAATGAGTTACAGAAGTCCAACCTGGAAGAGATGAAAGCATGAATAACAGTTTCCGCATCTATAAAGGTAAGACAGTGGCGAATACGAACAATATTAAACAGCTGAAAGAAGCATGACTAATGTGTGAGTGGAGGTCGAACAAAACTCCCAGATTCCGTACAGTTTTTGAAGGCCTAATTTCAATACTTTCAATTCTAAAATAATTGCCTAATTTCAAATTCTCTCCTTAGGAAACTGGATGTTGTATACCATAGTGTCATCCGTTTGTCACCAATGCTCCATATAACACTCACCATTGCAACCTTTACAGTTTAATCGGCTGGCCTTCATTACATACCCGGCGTCAAAAACATTGGTATCTTTTTATCTATAAATGCATACTGTGTAAAACCCCACCCTATCTACAAGCATTAATTTCGAGAGCGATCTCCACTATGAACCTTCGTTCTAGCAGGTATATCACTCTGGTGGCTATAAAGCTCGTACTTCGTTTGGACGCCTCTCCTTCCAGTTCTCTGCTGCTAATGATTGGAATACACTTCAAAAATCTTTGAAACTTGAATCCACTGTCCCACTAATCACTTTTAAATCATTGTTAGCAAATTTACTGTCAGACCATTGTACATGCTAACCTGATCTGTGCACTTGATCTACGGATCTGTATTAATCTTCTATGTTAATTATGTACTACTTTGTCTTGTAATTTTATGTGTAACTTATGTTTTTTGTACCTCGACGCTTTTTTGGCCAGGTCGCCATTGTAAATGAGAATGTGTTGCTCACCTGGTTAAATAAAGGTTAAATAAATAAAATAAAAAATAAATAAATACAAGAAATTAGTTTCAATACATTTACACTTGACCAATTTCATTTGGAATGAGGCCCAGACCTCCTCCTGAAGTGGTTTGAGCGATCGGATTCAAATTCTTCTCAATGCATTTCGGAGGGCATTTACACCTGGTCTTTTCTCAAATGGATAGCTATCCGATCACAGAAAACG